TACACTTCCTAGAAGTACAGGGTACACACTCACAGCTCAGATGCATAGGACTTCAGCTGAGGAGCCTTAGGAAGAACAGCAGCCAAGAATGCAATGTTGCAAGCAACTTGTGCAGCCTTTACCCAATCCATCTTACACTCATTCTTCTCATGTCATTCCAAAGCATTTCCAGAGCCCTCAGCACAAAGATAAAAGGAGAACCTTGAGCTGAGCAGTGGGCCAAATGAATTGTCTTGATAGGATAAGAACATCCCAAATGCTACAGTTATCTCACTCTGCTCTACAGAGAATGAGATTCCTACACTCAGAAATAAACTGAAGTTACACAACCAAACAAAATACACTAGTATTTAAAGCTGAAGACTCAGATACATACTTAAAACACTTCTACCCTCTCATCTGTCTTGGTGTTCTTTTTCTAAGCCCTAATTTGACAAAGTGCTTAATCATTACTTTTAGAGCATCTCATGGCATCAAACATTCAGATGAAACACTGAATAGACCAAAACAGTTGTTTCAAATAGTTGCCCAAACAAAAAGTCCAGTAAGTGAACCCGGTTTAAGATGCACTAAGTACTGTGAGAAACAAAGTTGTGTTTTTGCAATGAAAGTTGTTTTTGCAGTGGAAAATCCACTAACCTTGAATATTCAAAAGTGATTGTGCAGGCATGACAGCAGCATAGCAGTGGGGAGTATGTTAAGCAGATAAGGGGAAGGTCCCACTGTCCCAAAATAATTAAGATAGCTAAGAAAGCCAGGATGAGCAGTACAAAATCCGTAAAAAGAAAAATCACAGGCCCTCTAGTCACAAGGAAAAAGGAAAAGTAGAAATTAACAGTTGCTCAAATAAAATTGTACATATATGGTGTAGAAAGAAGCGCATCGAATAGTGTGTGAACCTGTAGTACTCAGCCAATGAGGGAACGGGAGAAATCAGGTGTCGAGTAATAGGGAATATAAGGTTATGATGATCTTCTACTGTGAGCTCCTGCTTGAAGGACACTCACCACTGCGACTAAAATAGCTTCACAGAAGACCCTGTCTGAGAAACTTGAGATTTTTCACAAAGTACCAAGAATGTTCTGAAAGAATGCTGACCTGTTTATTGACTTCAGCCATTGACAGTTGTAACGCCGTCAGCATGCAATCTGCTCCACATACAGTAGTTCTTTCTGAGTTTGAAAATAAGTGCCATTGTCTTCTGAAACGTTTGATCAAGTTTAAAATCTTTTGCTGGAAATCAACCATTGTCTAGAGTAGAACACAACATTAAGAGAATAAATGGGAAAAATAATGAGAGGCCCACACACACGTTTTCACCTTCCATTAAGCTACACATCTGCTGTTGTTTATTTTTTCACATCAAATCCAGAGAATAAGTTCTTTCCATTAAACACATAGCGCATTAAGACTCACCTCACTAATGACAGAGCAACAATGAAGAGGCAGGGTAAAAAGTGCTTATGCACGATGTCTTCACAAAGACCCCTTGCTCTCCTTGTATATTTTACTAACTTGAAAGAATGAAAGTTATTACAGAGGACACTCTTGTCTCAGCAAGGACCCAATCTGATACCCTAAAGTGTATCTTCAGTACTACCTGCTTTCACTGCTTGTCCAGTCCATATCTACTAAAGAGTTAGAACTGGAAAGTTTTATTCACTATTGTTTCCAATTTATTAATAAAGACATCCAATTTTGTTGTTGTTGTTACCTATGCACAAAGCCTTTTTCCTTTCCTCCCATAAGTCATCATTCTCCCTATTTCCTTTGGAAATGAGTTTCAACATCAGTTTTGTATTTGACTACTTCGTGCTTTGGTCTTTCACCTTCTTGCATTTACTACGCCAAAAGTACCTGAGACTCAAACAGCCTTCTCTAAACCCACTAATTTCTGAAACACAATTCCCTAACGCTGCATACAGTACACATGAAGACCCCTGTCTTTTACTTTCAGACCACAAACCCAACTTTTCCCCTTATTTCATTTTGTTAACGCGTAGATCACTGCACTTATTTATTGGTAATTAGTATGATCAGGAACAGGAGAGGGGCAGGGAAAACAAAGCAACATCTTGCAACAAGCAAGACAAAGCAACAACTTATTTACCAAGATGTTTGCAGGGAAGAGTTAGAATCACAGTATGGTTTGGGTTGGAAGGGACCTTAAAGACCATCAGTTTCCAGCCATGGCAAGCCATGTGCAGGATGCCTCCCACCATACCAGGTTGCCCAGGGCCCCATCCAGCCCGGCCTTGGGCACCTACAGGGATGGGGCATCCACAGCTTCTCTGGACAACCTGTGCCAGCACTTCACCACTGTCTAAGCAAAGAATTTCTTCCCAATATCTAATGTAAAGCCACAAGTTTTATTTACATTATTAAAATTTTAAGCTATTTAAGTTTTTAATTATTCCTCCTTGTCTTATCATTACACTCCTTGATGAAGAGTCCCTCTTTATCTTTCTTGCAGGCCCCCTCCAAGTATGTTAATTTGCTTTACTTTATCCCATTTACTTTGACATGAACAAAAACCAGGAGTCATAGCAAACAAAAACCGTTGGATAGGTACAAATCAGCCCAGGCCAGGCATAACAAACTCTTGATAAGGGGTTTCTGCCCCCTCACCCTCCTCAGTGAGGGAGGCTTCTGAGGAACAATACAAGCCACTGGGAGCCAGCACCCACCCTAACAACCCCAAAATAGCCCGCAGGACAAGCCCTGAACCTTATACCCGGTATTGCCACAACCGCCAGGGACCCACCCCAAACTCCGAGGGTCCCCCGCACTCAGCTCCCGGGCACAACGCGAGGCCCCAGCGGCTGAAGCTGCCCCCGCTCACCCACCTCCAGCCCTCAGGGGGCCGGGGCTGCCAGCATAGGCTCCGGTGCGAGGCGGCTGTCGGCCCTTTCCGCCGATTTTAATTTAAATCCTGCGCTGCCGCCCAATTAGCGAGCGCTGCCCCGGAAGCATAGGAGGTGGCCCGGGGCTGGGAGGCGCTGCCGGGAGCCGCGGCCGTGCAGGGCCGGAGAGGTGCGTGGAGAGGGCAGGGGGGGAGCCGCAGAGGGCTCGGGGCTTCCCCCCAGACCCGAGCAGGAACGGGGGTTGGGCCCTTGCTGGGGCTGCACGGTGTGGGGTGGGCTCCTTTGGGGCAGCCGCTGGGCCCCCAAGGGGAAGGGAGGGAGCGAGAAGGTGAAGGATGTGAGGAGGGGGCTGAGCCGCAACCGCCCGGTTGTCCCCATGGTGCTGCCCCAAGGCATGGGGTCTGCCCTGGTGGGGAGCCTTCGAGGTGGCTAGGAGTTGTGTTTGGCCTTAGGAGCGTGGCGATGCGAGTTATGTGGCTAAGATACTTCTGTCAACGTGGTGGTTTGTTGTGTTGGTTAATAAGTACACGCTACAAACGTGGGGAGCCTCTTTGAGTCCCCGGTGATACTCCCCATCAAACTGTGGTGGCTCCCAGGCATGATGTTCAGCCACGGTGCTGAGCCCTTCAGGTCATTAACGCAACAAAATATGATGAGGGTCTGAAGTTTAAAGCTATCTTTCCATGCTGCACGTGCAGAAAATTGTCATTTCTCAAAAGGTGTGCACTGATGTCAAATCTGGGATGATCCCAAAATCAGTTGTGTATCTCAGCCTCCTATGTGCAAGCACAGGAGTCTGATTTTCTTGAAAGTGCTTGAATAGAGTAAAGCATTAATGTTTAGGTATACTTTTGATCCAGTTGAAAATTAACTTTTTCTGTGCAAGTTCAGAGGCATAGAGGCAGTGTCTGCAGTTGGGTTGGCTTATGGCATGAAACAAGTATTCTGCAGAATTGTGTTTGCATTTAGAGTTTGGGTGGGTTTAATTCTGCTTTTAGTTAGATACCTATTGTCCTTTAAAGAGGTACACCAGGGAAGAGAATTTGATGGTAGTAATACATAATTTGTTGTCATTTGGTGAAATTCTTAAAATTATGTGTGTGACTTTTCTGGTACATAGAGTTACTTAATCCCATGTCTTGATAGGTTGCCATCAGTAGCACAAAATCTGCAGTTGTTACTGATGTTTGTAGCTTAGTTAGTTAATCTCTTGATTGTTGGAATTACATGTTAAATCTGTATATAATGAGCTTAAATTGACCTTTTGTGTCCATAAATATGGTGTTACAAGAAATCTTGATTTGTGCGCCACAAATACTTTTTTTTCTTTATGCAAATACATAATGCATGCTTTTTAATACTTTCCATATAGGAACATTGACCTTCATCCTGAAGAAGACATCGCTTCCACGATACTTTGACATAGTCCCCTGAAAATGAAGCAAGATTCTACTAGAAATGCTGCTTACACTGTGGACTGTGAAGATTATGTGCATGTGATAAAATTCAATCCATTTGATAGTGGAGATGCATGTTCCCTCATTGCGTATGGTGGCAATAACTATGTAGTTGTAGGGACATGTAGATTTCAGGTTAGTTTGTGTTTATTGCTTTCATTAGTTGCTTCATGAAACTGACAGCATGTCTTCTGACAAAGACTAAAGTCACTTTCCTGCTTCTTTCCTTCCCCATTTTGCCAGAAAGTGTTTTACTCCTTTATTACATTGATGACTTCGGGACATTTGGTCTTAAAGAGAAAAAAGTGTATACATAAATACATATTGGTATTAGCATCCTGCTGGTGTAAAGTTCTGTTTGAGTAGACTGCAATGAAAACAGGAGTGCTCTATTGGAAGAGTAATCCCAGTTCAGTATTTCTTGCAAATGTTTGTGACTACTACCTGGGAACTTAAGCAGGTAGCTTTAGAAATATGTAACTTAACATTTGCTGTATGGTGTTTTATTTTTTTAAGGCTTTCAGGTAGCTATCAAAGCAGCAAAGATTTCAAATACCCGGAATAGAAAGGAATAATTAAAATTTCCAAAGTAAGCTTAGAGACATTTCTTTCAAGGAAGGACAGTGGCAAATAATTACTTAATATACATCTGCTTTCTAGGTGTTTTTTTTTTTTTTTTTACATCTCTCTCACAGACTATTAGAAACAGTAAAATATGGTTTTTTTACCTTGACATTATTTCCAGTCATCATATCATGAAAGTTTTTGAAAAGTAAAATAGCATACTGTATATTTTTATACGTAATACTATTTTTTTTTTAACGAGGCATGTTTTGTTTTTTGTTTTTTGTTTTTTTTTTCCCCTGGATGCTTGAAAATCAATAGTAGAACACTCTTATCTTTGGAATCTATTTTTATTTTTTTTTTCTTGAGCTCACTTCTCTGTTACATGGTACTGTTTTTATACTTTACTATCTAATATAGAAAACAGTATAACTGGTCTTTATTATTCCCCAAAGTCTTACTGTTGGAAATTTTCTGAAAATCACCTAGGGCCTTCCTAGCTTCTACATTATGCAGAGTGTATACAGAGGGATTTTTTTCCTTAAAACAGAATTGTGCAATAGAGAACATTTTGTCAAAATAGCCTTCAGTTATTTTGAGGTACTATGCTGGATCTTTTGAGAACTTTTTGGAGATCAGTCGATAAGTCCACAATCCCAGCAATTGTTTCATCTTTGCCACCATCCAGTTCCCTCACCATTGGGAAGAATAGCCAAGGTAGTAATTTTTGTCATGTTAAATGATGAAGGGTACCTTTCTACCTGCTGCTGTTCTTCCAGAACAACCAGGTTCTAGCATTTTTCCATAAAATAAAAACAACTGGGAGAGAAGATGGCCTACATGGCCTCCTTGCTTTTGTTCCCATTATTTTGCATTTCAGTGTGTGTTTATCATGCTGTTGTCAGTGGTTCTGGTTGTATCTATGCCGTTATTGCTTGTGCAAAGAATGGGCTCAGCAGGTTTGTCTCGCAAGTCTTCTTTTTGTGCAATGTAGTTTTGGTTTTGTGCTATGTTGACTTTGGTTTGAAACTGCAATCATTTAATGGATTTTTAATTACTTACATATTTCAAGTAAATACTTTCTTTATTGCAGCAGATACATCTAACTTTCAACTTCATATTAATCTGACTTGTTAGAAGTCATCAACCTGTTATTCTGAATTAGCTAACTACAGTATTTCTGTAGGAAGAGGATGCAGAAGTGGAAGGCATGCAATATAAGACACTACGAACGTTTCATCATGGAATCAGAGTTGATGCCATAGCATGGAGTCCAGAAACTAGACTTGATGCTTTACCTCCCCAGATAAGGTATTTTGAATAAATTACTATAATGAATCCTTGTCTCATATCTGTTTTCTCTAAGTCCTTAATATTGAACTAACTTTAATGCTTACAGCTGAAATATAACTGTGAAGAAATTGCTGTTGGAAGTCTGTGAACACCATTGGAACAACAGTTTCATTCTTAATCATCCTTATATATTTTTTTTCTGCTTCTTGCTTCTCTTTCCTCCCCACAGTGGATTCACAATAGATACTAGATTTTTTAATTTTAGTCAGCCTGCAATCTTAGTTAGTCTTTTTGTTGTATGTATCTGTATAATGTGTATGTATCATTTTAAGAATGATACTAGTATCATGGCCTGCTTTGTAAAATTACACGTGATGTTCTCCATAGTATGGGCTAGATTAGGAGTAAGTCGGATGCTATTTGTGAGACCTGTCAAGCTGCAAGTCTAGAAAAATGGTCAATTATTAAATATGCACTTAACATGAATTCAGATGTTCTCAATTGCTTGTAAGCCTCTTCAAAACTATACTGTTTGCTTACTGCTACATATTTTTACAGTCTTTTCTTTAAAATAAGTTGGAGACTGGTTAATAAATTAATCCCTAGGTAATTTTAAACACTGATGATGAGGGTTCTGTTTTTTCTATCAGCCACTTCCTCCAAGGTAAATTCTGTGGCAGTTATGAGAGATTTCAGGTAATTCATAGTTGATTCAGATTTAGCTTTATAAAATGTTTTGTATTACTTTCCATTAAAAAGTGTTCTTGGCACTTGATACACCATATTTTAGAGGCAAGCTCCAATTATAGCTCAGAATGCTTGATGCCAAAGCAGAAAAATTAGAATATACGTTTGATTGAAAATCTAAATTTCCTTTTGCATGTCATTTTGCAGGTTTAAAATGGGGTGAAACTCTTGGTTGATCTGGTTTTGTTTGTTGTTTTATTTGTTTATTTAAAAAAAAAAAAGTCAGCCATTACAGTGCTATCTGACAGAAGGGCTTTTCTTTTTCTGTTGAGTGTAGGTTTTGTACAGCAGCTTCTGATAGGAAGTTAAGGCTATTTACTTCAGACCTGCAGGACAAGAATGAATATAAGGTAAGGGTAACTGAGCTGATTTTGAATATTTCTTTAGTCTCTAGTGGAGTCTAATCTTTCACTGACCTTGTGCCTCACTTTTCTTAATGTACAGTATGATGTAGAACACTAAACTCTGGCAGACCCATCATCTCTAGCAAGGATCAGTGTATTGAATATACCTTTCTATCTTTAAAGTGGGCATAACTAATTATCAGCTATATTATATTTTGATTTAAAAGTATTTATGTAACAGCCAAATTGACAAAAAGTAAGTAGAGGTTTATTTGTGGTCTAAAACATGGTCTAAAAATATTCCACAGGTGAATTTGAAGTACTGTGTTGGAAAAGGTTCCTTTACATAGAGACCTGTAAAATATTATGTGGTATTGTTTATTAGACTTGTCTATATGGAGAGCAAATTTAATTATCTGTCTCTTTCCTTGGGGAACAGGAAAGTTGCAATGAAACCATTTCATACAGTAGAAGATTTAAAGAAAGAATACTGTATTTTTTACGTAACTGCAGACAGTTATATAAAACATGGCCATGGGCCAGCACTTGTTTATGTCTAAAATAAAAAGAAAGGGAATGACTCCTTCAAATACATTTTCACTTCCTGTTCTTTCAGTGTAGTGTTCTTTCACCAGTGATGTAAGAGGTGTCGGGTCTGAGATTTCTTTTGTTTGTAAGGCATTCTTGTTCTTTGTAACTCCTATGTCACTTGGGTATGTACATATTCTTCAAAATTTTGCCTTTGAAACAATACCCCAGTCCAAATATTAATATTAATTAGATGTTAGTTTGAATTTGTTTTGTTGAGGTTTCAGACAAGAACAAACAAAGCTAATCAGTGCTGAAAAATCAGGGGTGAGGGTTCCTTCTTTAGTGCTTTGGAATATGATAATGCCTCTGAGAGTTGTGTATTCAATATGAAGGGGAAAAGAACTGACTTTCCTTTGTGGTTTGGCAGTATGTATTAGTAAGACAATATTTGTCATACAGAAAGTAAATTAATTGCAGATGTCACTCTTGGTCAAATAATAATGTAGTGAAATAAAGCTATATATAAGTAAAAATGGACATTACTAAAAAATAAAAAGTATTTCAGTTTCAGAAAAGATGTTCTATGTTACTTCATGCATGCACCTTCCCATTTTTTCCTTCCTTCGTGCTTGGTCCATCACCTTGTATAGCCTTGTCAGCCAGGAAGTAGGATAACTGACACGGTTGCAAACAGCTTGGCCGGCACTTCTAGCAAAATATTTCTAGAAATTGTTAACGTTTGCTTGTAAGTTTATGTGTGTCACTCCTTACCAAAGTTACCATTTTATATAATATCTGCCAGTTTTGTGATATTGTAGACAAGCAGCTTTGATGGTGTGAGTTAATCTTTCAACTTTTTTAGCAGAATATAAAGTTACTTTACTCATTACGTATGTCTGTTTTAATTTGAGAAATTTATAGAATTGTCTGTAAACACGCGGAAGAAAGAGAATAGGTAGACTCATTAATAACAGTATAGACAATTGAATGGTTAATTAGTGGAAATAATCAAACACATAGAAGAACCTGGTACTAGAGGCTCTAAATTCAGCTGTCTAGTCTCTCTCTCTCTCTTTTTTTTTTTTTTTTTGGATTAACAATGGGCCTGATGGACTGTCTGCTAAAATCAGTGACAAGTCTCTTAATTTCAGCATGGGTCAAGGCATGAATAAGTATTTTTTCCTTGTGTAATGAATATGAAATCTTTAATTACTGGGTGTTAACGACCAACAAATTTTTGTGTTTTTGCCAAAAATTGTGAAAAAGTGACAGCTGTGGTAGTTCATAGCCTTCATACCTCTTTTTGTCTCCTGTCTCTTATCATCTGGTCTTTAGCAGAAGGTGTTCTTTTATACATTCCGAAGCAGCCTTCATGTCTATACTAGTTTTCAGACTGTTGCACATTGATTGAGGGCTCCTTCTAGACTAACGCTAGGAATTCTCAATGGGATGTGTTGTTTTCCTCAATAGGAACCCATTGCTTCCAGTTAAATAAATACATATGATAAATATTCAGCCTTACAACTTCACACAAAAGCATTTTTGATAACTTATGAACTTAAACTTTTTTTAAAATAGAAGTTTAAATAAGCAAGTTTATTCTAATGAAGAATTATATTAAGCTGTTTATTGCTGAATTATAATAAGATTACAAAAAAAAACACACTTAAAATAATCATTTTGAATATACCTGATGAGACAGTTATTTTGTAGTTTACTGTCAATGCATGATCAATATTAAAACCAGAGAAGCAAAGGAGGCAATGCAGTAGCACAGTCTGTGCTACTATTCTATTCTATTCTGAAAAGCTGTTTTTTCAAAATAGAATTTCTGTGATGTGTTACTGTTTTTCCCAGGTCTAATAAGATTTTTTTTCTGGTATGTGACCAACACAAATGAAACTTTAAAACATGTATTTCTAATTTAGCAGAATATATTACACAGTAGCTTTGTCTGGGTGCCTACAAATAAATTTAAAATGCCACACTTATATTTCTATTAAGATAGCAATTATTTTTCATACAAAAAGATTCTTTGAGGAACTGATTCTTCTACCCTTAGGACTTCGTTCTAACACAACCTGCGCTGACCTGCAGTTACAAGCTTCTACTGCAAAAGTATGTCAATTACGTAACACATCTGAAAAAAAATTTATGATAAGTCTTGACTGTAATGATCACAGAAGATGTATTAATACAGGAGGTGTTACGACTACGTGGCCAGATGAAGCTACAATAGTTGGTTTATTTTTGATGCAACAGAATACTAAAGACCATTCGGGGCTTATGCTATGCAAATGAGAAGTTTGGGCTTCAGTTTAGCAATGAAGTTATTAGCTCTGTTTTTTGCCAATTTCACCACTTGAACTTAGTCTAAGAACTTCATCAAGGGTATACTGAGACTGAGGAAGAAGTAAAAATTCCTGTTTTTACTGGATCGGGCTTGGTCTAATGCTTAAAATGATCAGAAAACAGCTTAAAATGTGGATTATTTCCTAATAGTGAGAATCTCATTAGTGAAAAGGAATAGTGTGCTTATATTGGGGGATTGGACTAGATGATCTTCCAAGGTCCCTTCCCGTCCCTAACATTATGTGATTCTTTGATTGGTAAAAATGTCTTTAAGAGCACGTTCCAGGCTTTTGTTTGTTTGTTTTGTTTTTGTTTGTTTTTTGCTTTTGTGTGTGTGTTTTTGTTGTTGCTTTGACAAAAATTGGAGAAAATACTTTCTCCAAGTAGTCATCATAATTTCTTATACTTGGATGATCATTGAGCTATATACTTCTTGTGATTGGAAAAAAAATAACACCTAACTCTCATCTAAAGTATTTGGAAATCTCAGAGGTTCACAAATATTCTATGAGCTATGCCGAGTTAATTGTAAACAGTTTGATAGAATGGTTTCTTAGTATTAGTCAATCAAAACCTCAGAAAAACTATTTCATGAACCTAAGGTTGAATACATAATGAACACATGGAAGACTTTGATCCATTGTACAGTGCACACTTTACACATGAGGTTTTCAAGGGAGGTACAAAATGTGCAAAAAAGCTGAGGGAAGTATGTCATTACAGTCAAAATGTAATCTCTGAACATTTTGTCTTTTATATTAAACAATTAGTATGTGTTGCTTCTGGAGGGATAGACAGAGTAATTTTACTCTGATTTCCCAGTGGAAAAAACTGTCTTGATGTAATTATCAACAAGGAACTTCAAGTATACTGAGTTTTCCATTACTTTGTCAACACAACTAACCCAAAATTTATGGGCTGGATCAAGCCCAGAACAACAAACAAAAGGTAAAGTACGGTTGATGGATCTTCGTGAAGTCTTTTCTTGTTCTGAGGTTTTCATTTGGAAATGAATTGTGGCTTTCTTCTCCTGCTTCAAATTTTGTTTAATAAAAAGCATATTTCATGAAAACTGTGTATGTAAAATGAGGCAGGATATTTGAATTCTGAATGCTGAAAATTTTCAAAAGACTTGCATTTCTGTCTAAATAGTTTAGCATCATCTTAGGATGTATTAGTTCTAGTAAAATCCACAAGGTTTTATTGAAATTATGGGCTGTTGGGGGGAAAAAAAATAAGTTGGCTGCTGAAAATGGTTCTGTATTGAACATTCATAACTTTTTAGAGAGGCAGCTTCATTATTGTGTATGGTTTACAGTTTTATTTTTTTCCTTTTTGATCAGTTGCATAGCTCGTTCTGAGGAACAAACACAGAGAACAGTATTTTGTTCTTTCAGAAAGCTGAGAAGTGATTGTTTTCATTCAACCTGGTTTTTCCTTGCCATCTCTTCATGTCATGCCATTATCCAGTGGATATTTTCGTGTCCTTTTTATAATACTTTGGGCAAAACAATAGCAGCTATGCCTAGTGACTTACTCAGTGAGAGTAAAGAGGATGAAACAGTAATAGATCCAACATCTGCATATGGACTTCAAATAATTGACTTCAAATTTTAAGTGATTTAAGTAATTACAATTGATTTTTTTTGGCATAAAAACCATAGTGAGAGAAAACACACATGAATCCTCAGATGGAACAAACTCTGATACTTACTAGCTACAGATTTTCTAATGAGATCAGAGATGATGTACTCATACCTAACAACCATGTGAATGAATTTGAATCATAGCATCATAGAATGGCCTGGATTGAAAAGGACCTTAAAGATCATCTAGTTTCAAACCCCCTGCTCTGGGCAGGGTTGAAAAAGTATTTCAGCAGGGTTGAAAGTACTTCAGACTCAGCCTAAATGAGATGAGTTTTGCCTGCTTGCTTAATGCTGAATCTGTATTTGAACTTTAATTTAGATGTTTGAAGATATTGTAAAGCTTAAAAGATTACTGATATCTGTAGATAAGTACAAAACACTTAACAGATTCGAGAAGAAAATGGTGTTGTGATTTTATGGCTAAGACAGCTGAAAAGCCTTCTGAATATGTAAAAAATATCCTTTTAACTTTTACTAAAAACTGATTCTGCTTCTCATTCAGAGAAGCTATGTTACTAAGTTGGATTTCATTATAGATAAATTATTCTCAGTACTTTGAAATAAAAATGTCATGATTAATAAATTTTAGCTGAGGACAATTACATAGTAATAGTTTCCTTTGAAATGACTTCATGCTTTCTGATACAACTGTGAATGTTTGCTTTTGACTGCTAGTTCATATGTACATTCACACCATGGGTAATTATGTCCTATTATTTGAAAATGGATGATCTATTACTTTCACAGTAACAGTGTGCACTATACCCAATTTTCCTTACTCTTCAGTACGAGAGTATATAAAGCAAAGAGCATAAAGTACTATGTCAGTTTCTCTCAAATGTTTAACAGAAACTGTGATTAATGGCTGTGATATTGTGTGGCCTGCTTGTTTTTCATGTGCTGTTTTTCCTCACTTTCAGTTTTCATGAAGCCTTCAGCATGCATTGTTACTTGTTTCATTGAGACTTTTTTCACTTTTTATTCTAAAGGTAGCCTTTTGGTTCTTTGCCATCTCTGGTGGATATCTGCTCTTAAGGAATTTATATATTGACTGCTTGGGAAAGGGAATATACTGGACAAGTGATTGGCTTATTGCTCCTTCAGGAAAAAAACTCTCTTGCTGCTTGCAGGAATTCCTATTAAAAACTCTTGTTTAGAGATAAGAGTTACTTATGAATAATTGGAGTTCTTTAAAATCTATAAATTATGTGTACATTCACTTCCTGCTGATTTTCCTCTTTCTTTCTGAGATTTATTGTCTTCTACCTCCAAAATTCAGTGGTTGAAAAAGAATAAGAAGTTCTGGTCTGATCCACTTACCAGAGCATCAAGCTGACCTCTGTGGTAACGACAAGGAGCAGTGGGGTTCTGTTCACCTACAGTGTAAATATACACAAGCATTAGAGGTTTTAAATATCTCCAGTTTTACTAATGAATATTTTTCCCTTCGATGTAGAAATGATAACTTTATTTTACACTCAAATCTTTCATTGACTGGATCTGTTGAATATATTGTTGACTAATGGTGGAAAAGTCTGCTCAAAGTTAAAAATATTTCTTTTTTTCTGGTTGACAGATGTTTGATGGCCACTCAGATTACATTAATGATCTGGTGTTTTCTCCCAAAGAAGGTCAAGAAGTTGCAAGTGTAAGTGATGATCACACTTGCAGGTATGCATTTTGCTCAAAATATCATTGAAATAATAGTTTGGCTTTTTCTGTGTGTGTATATGCTTCCTTACTTATTTTTAGTAGGTCTTCATTTTGAAAGGGAAGATCAGTCATGTGAACTGGGTTGTGGGGGGTTGTGTTTTGCTTTTTTTTTTTTGGTGTGTGTTTTTCTTGTTGTTTGTGGGGTTGTTTTTTTTGTTGTTTTGTTTTGTTTTGTTTTTCAAAGATACCTGGTTTTGAACTTCCTAGATGAATGAGAAGAAAAATGTTCTGCCTTGGTATTATGGAGAAGATTATTCTGGGAGTTATTGAAAAACACATGAAAGATGGCGCAGTTATTGGTGATGGCCAGCACAAGTTGATGAGGGAGAATGTTCTGTTCAGCGAACTGAATTTCCTATTGTGACAAGGTCGCTCATCTAGCTGACCAAGGAAAGCCAGTAGATGTGATATTTTCGTATTTGAGCAAAGTTTTCACTAATGTTTCTTCCAGTATCCTTCTGAACAAAATGCCCAGCATACAGCTAGACAAAACCATAATGCAATGGGTGAACAGTTGGCTGAGTGTCCTGCTAAAAGGGTTAAAGTAAATGGGGTTACATCAGGCTGGATGCCAGTCACTAGTGGGGTTCCACAAAGCTTCAGTCAAGGGCCAGTTCTCTTCAATGTTTTTATAAATGATCTGGATGCAAGACTCAAATGCGAACTAAGTTTGTAAGTGATACTAAATAAGGAGAAGCTCTTGACTCTGTCGAGGGTAAAGAGGCCTTGCAAAGAGATCTTGTCAAACTGGAGGTCTGAGCAATCACCAACAATATGAAGTTTACAAGAGCAAGTGCCGGATTCTGCACCTGGGAAGGGACAACCTTGGATGTATGTACAGACTGGGGGATGAAAGGCTGAAGGGCAGCTCTTCAGAAAGGAATTTGGTAAATGGCAGGGAGGGCCAAGCACATCCTGAGGTGCATCAGGCACAGCACTGCTAGCTAGTCAAAGGAAGTGATTGTGCTGCTCTACTCTGTACTGATGCAGCATCATGTTCAGTATACTGTGTGCAATTTTGGACACCATAGTATAAGAGTCATACAACTGTTAGAGAGTATCCAAAGGAAGGCTACAAAGACGGTGAAGGGTCCAGAGGGCAAGACAGGAGGAATGGCTGAGGTCCCTTGATTTGCCCAGCCCAGAGCAGAGCAGGCTGAGGGGAGGCCTCATGGCGGCCTGCAGCTCCCTCATGAGGGGAGCGGAGGGGCAGGCGCTGAGCTCTGCTCTCTGGGGACAGCGACAGGACCTGAGGGAACGGCATGGAGCTGGGACAGGGGAGGGTCAGGCTGGGGGTTAGGGAAAGGTTCTGCATCCAGAGGGTGGTCGGGCACTGGGACAGGCTCCTCGAGGCAGTGGTCATGGCACCAAGCTTGCTGGAGTTCAAGTGTTTGGATAATGCTCTCAGACACATGGTCTGATTTTTACATAGTTCTTTGTGGAGCCAGGAATTAGATTCGATGATCCTTGTGGGTGTCTTCCAACTCAAGATATTCTATGATTATGTACACTGTCAATTTCCCCAGGTGGGATAGAAATAAAAAAAAAAAATCTCCAAGAATAGGAGACATAAGACATGATGTACAGCTCTGAGCTGTACAGACTCTGTCCATCCATTCTATCTTCAAATGAGTCAAGTTTAAAACCAGTATACTCATGTGAAATTGTTTGCTTACCTGAACTTATTAGCCTTACTGGTAGATGCAATTATATAGACTAAGGACAGTATCATACTGACACAGTGAATTACATATTTGCTCTTTGAAGTTATGACCATATTGATTGCTATATACATGACCATTTAATGTTCAGGGGAAGAAAAAAAGTGCTATAAGAACAAAGGAAAAGATCTTGTGTTTGAAGCAATCTGTTACCTGGTAAGAGAGAAAGAAATAGCTGTTAGGATGATTATTCTGTGTATGAGATTTTGTAAAGGGCAGAACATCAACTGGTGTAAATCAGTCTAGTAGCATTAGTAGAGCTACTCTGTCTTATGTGAATTGAAAATCTAAAAGGCCTGTGATTTTTCAAAACCCCTAGGGAACTCAAAAATAGTACTTTAACCAGCAGGCAGATTTTCCACAGCTGCCCTGTCTCTATTTCCAACAAAATCATTAGGAATGAGTAGTAAAAATGTGTATGACTTATTCCTAGCTTGTTCCAATTTATTCTCTATTCTTGATTTTTTTTATTAGATCTAAACTAATGTTGGGTTTATTCAGCAAAGAGGTATTTGAATATTTGGCATGTTTTGTTTATTTTTTGAAATGCTCAGTGTTTCTGAGATAAGAGGACTGTTTTAAAACCAATAGTCTGATACTAAAGGAGAAGGAAATACAAATGATTTAATTAGTGTATGCTATCAGGAGTTAATAACTGAAGGACAGTTATGCAGTAAACCATAAAATCTATGGTTCAAAGCCACGTGAAGTAAGCAGGATTTTTTTTGGCTACTTGAGTTCTTATTTTTTCCATTTATGCATGTGGAGCATGAAAACTTTTTTTTACTGAACTTAAAGGTTAAACTTTCAAAAGTAATGGAAAATGCATTCCCTCAGACTTACCAAAATCATTCCTTACTTGCTGTGTAATTTGCTTCAGCAGTAATGTAAGAAGAGGAATAATTTTTCTGTCTGTACTCAGTTTCTACTCAGAAATTTTTCTCAGGATACATCATCTGTTAATACCTTTGGAATGAAGTAGTAGAACAATTAGCACAAGAACAAGGAGTTTCAAATGTGTCAGAGTTGTTCTGTTAGAGTTCCACCTCTGTGTCTTGATATAATTAACACTGTGCCTCAGTATGTATATCATACAGAGCGACAAACAAGTTCTTCCCTCCTCTTCACTCAGGGGTAAGTTTAGCAGAGATACATAAGGAACACAAGTTTTCAATTTTCATGCATTAAACAATCTTGCCACAAACTGCTGCAACAGTTACATCTCATGGCTGGCTTTGGTCTTTTGTTGTTGTTGTTGGAAGACAGTGTTAAGTCAGATACCAGTTGAGAAGAGGCTGTGGTGATGCCTTCAGCATTCTTACCTTTAAATAGTTAGTTCAGGAGTTCTTGTTGCTTTTACACGTAGCTTTCTTGGTCTTGTTGGTCTCACAAGACCAGCTGCAAAGTAGAACTGATTATTTAAGACTGTTTAAAAATACTCGAGCATCAAAATAATTGCAGTTGTCTTCTGTGCCATGTAGTCGTAAATTGAAGGGCATTCATTGACAAGAGGTGTTGGTTTATAAATCTGATGTACACTTGAAAATTATCATGATTCTCTGCACTGACAATCTCAAAACTAATATAACCTTAGAAAGTATCTTTTTTTTTTTTTTTAATAATACACCTTTGCAATATTCATAAACCCCACCATGTTACAGTTATTCACAACTGTATATATATACAAGATCAAAATTCCCACAGCTGTAAAAATTACAAAATAAATAAATAAATAAAAGATTAGCTAGTTGCAAAAAAGCTGATTGAAAAATTCAAACCCTGTGTTCTGTGTATTGTGCGTTACCTTCCCAAGGATGGCTAGATTCCAAGATGGATGAAGCAGTTCACAAACCTATGGTTTACTTATGTCTTTGGCAGGCTATTGCAAATTTCAAATTTTGTTTATTCTATATTTTAAAGTATAATATGGAGTAAACTAATGAAGAACTTGCGGGACATTTTCCTGTATTTCACTTTTTTAAGCATTTCATAATTGTTTTACTCTTCCGTTAAGAACAGAAAAAAATATAGTTTTTAAATTTGATAGCAAAATTATAAAGAAAATGGTTAAAAATGCTGGTAGAGGAAATAGCTAAAATAGCTACTGTTAAATTATTAATTGCAGTAAAGAAAAATGTGAATCAGTTTTATCGATGAGTCATATGTGTTAATGTGGAGCACAGTTAAAGTAAAATATAAATAAAGAATCATAGAACAGCTCGGATTGGAAGGGAACACCAGCTAACTCCAACATTTCTTCCATGGGCAAGGAAGCCACCCCACCATATCAGGTTGCCAAGGGCCTCATTCAACCTGGCCATGAACAACTGCAGGGATGGGGCATCCACAGCTTCTCTGGACAGCCTTTTCCAGTGCCTCACCACCCCCTGAGTGAAGAATTGTCTGACTGAGCAAAAAATTGCTCTCCATCTTTTTTATACGCCCCCTTTAAGTATTGAAAAATTGCAGTGAGGTCACCCCCAGAGCTTTTTCAGCCTGTCTTTGTAGGAGAGGCACTCTAGCCCTCTGATCAACTTCATGGCCCTCCTATGGACCTATTCACACAGACCCACACCCTTCTTGTGCTGGGGGCTCCAAACTTGGACACAGTGCTCCAAGTAGCATCTCTCAAGGGCAGAGTAGAGGGGGACAATCACCTCCCTCAGCCTGCTTTGATACAGCCCAGGATACGGTTGGCCTTCTGGGCTGCAAGCACGTGCTGCTGGCTCATGTTGAGCTTTTCATCCACTCCCAGGTCCTTCTCTGCAGGGTTGCTCTCAGTGAGTTCTTCTCCCAGTCTGTACTTATGTCTGGGATTCCCCTGACCCAGGTGCAGCACCTTGCACTTGGACTTAGGTTCACATGGGCCCACTTTGCAAGCTTGTTCAGGTATCCAGGCTTGTCAGTCACTGTCAAGTCCAGTTTTTGTTGCACATACCACAAATATCAGTCCATCAGGAGGTTAGTTTTAGTCTCTATACAGAGATTCCTGGGGAAAGGTTTAATATCACTGGAAAATAAATATAACTAAAGTCACAAAATTTATTATATTGTTTGTAGTTTAGTTGTTTAGTTTTGTTTCATTTTTCTACCTATAGCGTGTTTGTTTACATGGTACTCTTATGTCTTAGTTATTTTGCATAGGTATTTCACTAGACAGTAGACAAGAAAAGTCAGTGATAAATTATTTATTTTTTGTTGGTTTTATTGGTTGATTGGTGTTTTTTCTTTATTTTTTTTTTTAATGTTTTCAGTGCTTGTTGCATTTGTGTCTTACTTTGTTAGACCAATTCAGTCTCTGGCCATATTGTAAAGTTGCCTTTCTCACTTATTCCTGCCTTAAATTTATATTTCATTTGTGTCTTCCCATTTTGTGCTGTCAACCATAGATTTTTTTAATAAAGTATTTTATTCCATGTTCTATGTTCATCAGTTTGTTGTGATAGAATTCCACAGTATTTCTTCATACAAGAAATATGATAGCAAAATAGTTATCCTTTTGAGCTATGCTGATAGTGTTTATCAAACTAGCTGTGCATTATAATTGATGAAAATAATTGGGAGTCTTGAATTATTTTTAGGAGTCTAGCTTGTGGCTTTGCATGTTTTTTGTATGCATCCCTGTGTGTCCCCCCAAAGTCTTACATGATACTTCTTATACCTCGCAGTCAAAACCAAAATATTAACCATCAATTTTGGTTATACTTTTGGTTATACAATTGCAATGCAAGTATGTCTGCTGGAGATACAAAGAAACTTTAAGGATATTTAAGTCAAATTTTTAAAAGAAAAGGAAAGAAACAAACAAACAAAAAAAAAAAAAACTTGTTGGTCATTTATAAGAGTAGGTCAGACAGTTCAAGGATAGCCAATCCTGCTTTGTGGTGAGGTATTAGATGGTATTAGATGTCACAGAAAGATACTAGATGTTCTGTGCCCCAAGCCCACTCACAAAGACTGCTGGAAACCTTATGTTAAAATAATTTATTTTTTTTTTACTTCCATTGTCTGAAGATTTTAGAAATGCCTTAAAGTTACAATATGGTTTTGTTCTTATACTATTCTTTTTGATGACTTTTATTCATTTATAATTTGGTTTTGCTCTCTAGCTAGAATTATTCATTATTCAGAAAGTTAGAATGTACAATAAGGGTAATCTCTATTGCCACAAAACAGGTTTTCAGATGTTCCAATGAATACTTTGGCAATTTTAATAAAAGTCCATTTTGTAAAATTGCTGCACATACGCCGCATGTCATCATCCACATTCATGTATACTACATAAAATATAGTTGTTCCAACATAGTTTGAATAGCTCCATGCTTTGAGATAACTGCAGTTGTCATTTGTTCATTTAATCACAGCATGTGAGTGATAAGAGGAATATACTAATATTTCAAGAGTTCTCTTGAATGACATTTGTAGCTATCTCTAACTTTGTATTAGCTTAAATAGTGTGATCATTGCAGTATATGATTCTCAATTCTTAGTTATGTAAAAATAAATTAATTTACTGAGCAGATTATATGTAATTTTGAGGCTTTCCATTATTCCAACTTTGGCCTTCATTTCAACTGGGGTTATTCAAACTTATATCCTTTAAATTTATTTCGGAATCTTTTTATAACTGTTGGAAAAAAATAATAATAATACCATAAGCTCAGTAAGTCTGTTCAACAATAGTTGATGGAGGGAGGAGGGTTGATAGAGGGTGATGCAATGCAGAGTTACAAAAAAATAAGAATGTTTGGATAAAAGTAGACACTAGTTTGAGTATAAAAACATGGTAATATTAGTGAAGTTTCATGGGGTTTGAATGGGAACCAAGATGCTAGGTCTTTATAGATTGATTTATGTGATAGGAATGTGGAGAGAACAGGAGGCTTTTTTAGCATCTGTAGCTGATTTGGTTATGATTACTGAGTAACTGAAACTCAGTTTGGCTAAAACTTGTGTCTGCACATTTGTAACTTGTGCTAGTCAAAAAGAAATATTACAAAGAGTTAATTTCCATAATCACAAATACATTTCCATAACAACATGTTCTTGATGCATTCAGTCAAGGATCTATTTTGATATGTATTGTCAGTTTCTTTCCAAAACTAAATGATAACCATGTTTGTTATCAATAGAGAAAGAAGGAAATATATGAGGGGCATTTATCCTTTTTTTTTTTTTTTTTTTTTTTAATTTCTTTCTTTCTATAGTGTTTGTTACTAGCGATCCCAACATCCTGACAATATAAGAGATACTAGTTTGGCATTTTATAAATAACATAGTTAGGGAAGTACAAAGCATAAATTTCTGTCTCAACACCTAATAATCTCACTCAGTTCAGGGAAGGAAACATGATGGCATGCTTCTTTGGCCAAAATGATTCACCGTCTTCTGTTATATCATAATTTTCTCCCTGCACAGTAAATACAAATGGAAAGTGTTGATTTGACTTGGACAAATCTACAAGGCAAAATTTCTGGCAATAGAAGAAAGTATTGTATGTTTCTAAATTACCTAATCAAGTAGATATTTCATTTTTTAAACAGTTGTCAGGTTTTTGTTTTGACTTTATTTTAATAAGGACGCTGATCCTTCAAGATTGGAGACTGTGTTTTCTGCAGGGAAAACAAATATTTGATCTGTTGTGGTTTGGCATAAGAAAATAACATTGTTCATTAAATATATTTACTTTGTTCCCATATATTTTGTCTAGACTTATGATGTATTATTTAAGAATTTTTTGAAATCTTTTAAATATAAAGCTCTCAGCACCCTGGTGAGATATAAACTAAAAAAGTCTGGAGGAAGTCAGCAAAAATCCCCTAGAAAAAAAAAAAACAATAATAGTTATATAGCCACTCATCTAAAGACTGAGCAGAACACTACACTTGAAAATTTGGCTGATTCTAAGGTTTTGTATGTCAGTAAGGAAGGATGTATGTATATATATTTGTGTATTAAAATGCATATAAATAGCACTCTAACTTGTGGTTAAAATTTATGTTCACAACTGTGATGTCCTTGTCCTACAACTGAGCTCTTGATTTTGTAGGAAATGAGGCAACTGAGCAGTGGCTATGAGGTAAAATAGTATCTGTATTGTTTTTGCTGCATTTTATAAGCTGGGTAGCTTCATGGCTCAGTAATGCTCACATGGAGTGCATCCAGAGAAAACTCACTCATCATATAACCTAGTTTTGGTGTTTCAGCATACACTTCCCTGTCAATCTATGTTGACCCAATACTGCAGTGTTGACTTATGAAAAAAGAGAGAAGGTATCATCTAGATTTCACATCTAGACAACTAAGCTTGTCAAATTGTTTGGATGTTGCCCTTTCAAATCAAGGGTGTACCTAGTTCATTTTTTAATTACTCTCTTCAGAACTGGCTTGCTTTTACTGACTTCCATGCACAAGTATTAAGCATCTGCAAATTTAATTCTAGGTGTTCCATTAGTCTGTTTTCTTCTTGAAGTGATAAAGCATGAACAGTGTTTCATTTGATCACTTCCTTTGTTGGATGTATTGAGGCACCAAATCTTAACTTATTTCAGTCAAATGGCAATACACAGCTAATTACTTGACCTTTTTTTCTTTTGTTTTCTTTTTCCTCTTCTAGAGTCTGGGATTTGGAAGGAAATGAGAAAGCCCATTTTGTTTTACGTTCTCCTGGAATGAGTGTGTGCTGGCATCCTGATGAGGCTTTTAAGGTTGTGCTTTACAGCTCTTCATCACTACCACCCTTAAAATAACAGGAGGATGTACTTCTCTAACTATGAATCTTTGATGCTATAGTAAGATTTAAGTTTGGAGAGCCTGTGGATATTGAAACTAGATATTGGAAAGATCTGCTAATGTGAAATCACTGTAAATAAATTCTCAATCAGATTCTTCTCTTTTTACTGTCAATCCCTTGCTCTTCCCATGAGAAATACTCCTTAGTGATTACATACGTCAGTCACTGTTGATTGCGTAATAACTTACAGTTACCAGAGGACAATTTGTATCAGTCATGATAGCAAGATTCACTGATAACACAGACTCCTGTAAAGCAAGCCAAGTATCTGTTTGAAGTTACCAAGAGAAAAATATTCAGCTTCATTAGCTGAATTACTCTAGTCCTTGCAATCTTGTATTTATTATTCCTGTTGTGCGAATCAATAACTGCCTTAAGTAGCTGCAAATAGCTGTTCAGGTTACCACAAAAACACACTGAACAACAGAAAAAAAGCAGTCAAATCAGGTATCAAAATATTTATTTAGCTATAGAGAGGAAGGCTTGGTGTTCTTCCTATAGTTTCCACCAGTATCTTAGGCCTTACTAAGAAGATTGTTGACTCCAGTGTCATCAAACTTGAATGTTTGCCACTATATTTGGTACGGGGCAGTTTAGTTCACACAACAAATTTACTAGATCAGCCCTAAGCTAATTAGGGCTCTGATAAGCACTAATTAGCCCTATTTTTCTGTGCAAAGATATTGAAATATTACACCAATCTTATATATTAGCTTGTTTTTAGTCTGACCCTTATCAAAGAGCAGGCAAAGGAGATTTTTTTATTATTATTATTATTTTTAGTAAATAAAATCCCCTTCAAAAAACTAATAAAACCTTACAGGCTGGTGGTTATTGAAAAGTTTATTGAAGTTCAAAATTCTTGGTGCACCATGTCTTCTAGTTTGCAACCGAGTGTGTTTCTGTGACAGCCATGTTTTCCCAAGCAGCTTTGGATGTTGGGGGACGGGAGTAGGTGGGGATGGGAGAGGAGGGGACAGAGTATTTTTAATGCTGCTTTGCCTTCCTTAACTGTTGTTCATGACTGTCTGAAAGGCATCCTCCTCATTCAGAATGCATTTTTTAATCATTTAATAAGGAAGCTCTTTTACGTTGCTTAACAAAAAACAAATATATTCTATTTTAACAGCAAAAGCTTAGATAAAATCTGATTCATTACAGGCTAAGTTCTATTAATTTCTCTTACAGCTGATGGTAGCGGAGAAAAATGGGACAATACGATTCTATGATCTAATTACACAGCAGGCCATCCTCTCCCTAGAATGTGAACAAACGCCACTGATGTCAGCAGACTGGTGTTTAAAGAATACTCTTAAAATTGGAGCAGTTGCGGGAAATGATTGGCTCATATGGGATATCACTTGCTCCAGGTATTTTTATGTACAGGACATGTATTTCTTCAGAATCTCCTTAAGCAGGCCACGAAGTAATGGGGCTACTTTGGTAAAATACCAGTTAAATGCTCAGTGTATTACACCTCCTTTTCAGTAAATAAATGAACATTCTTCAGCAGCTATGGAATCAGTACAGATCATTCTTTTTCATGCTTATTTCTATCAGTATTTATCTGTGAAAAATACTATGCTGTTTCTTTTGGTCCACTTCAGACAGCATCTCTACTGTTTACCTCTCATTGTAAGGTTTATGCATTTATTACAATCATAAATACCTCAGTAGAGTCACTACCTATTTCAGTTTTCTTCTTCCAAATTGAAATGTAAGCTGCAGGAAAGCTGTTTTTCCCTCAGCTTTTTCACAAACAGTAGACAATGTTTCCCCTTCATTGCTTAAAAGTATGGTTTGGATACTTAATGCATAGTTGTTTGCAGAACAGTTTTTTACATGGAATGTCTGTTTTAGTTATCCGCAGGATAAGAGACCTGTCCATGTTGATCGAGCCAGATTATTCAGGTATAAGTGCTATCTATATTTTGTTATCTCAGTTTTGTTTTTGATACAGTCTGTGTATATGCAAGCACTTACTTGGGAGTTTAGGGACAACTGTGTCTCTTCACTCACTTTTAGTGGGACCTGCTCCATAATCTTAGTGAAATTTATGAATGACCATTAAGTTTTTCTGTAACACAACATGCATACAGGGCTGTGGGCGGTGTATTTATTTCTTTGGTATCAGTGGACTATCTGATGGCTTCACACAGTTACTCACAAGGGAAAGAACTCCAGCGTGTGTGCACTTTTGTTAGGAATATTGTAAAGGTATGTTCCTTTAATTCATAGGTGGTCCCGTGTGAATGAAAACCTGTTTGCAACCACTGGATATCCAGGAAAGACAACTACTCAACTGCTTGTTCATCATTTAGGACATCCCCAGGTAAATTTTGAATTCAGCTTTCAGATGGAATTGCATCTGTCCTTTTCAAATCAAACTCATAAATAGTTAAAAGCTGTAGCTAAAAAGTAGCCCAAACCATCCAGTAATGCTGCTTTGTCATTTTTTTAATTATTTTTTTGTCTCATCCATTCTAAAAAAAATCCATTCTAAAAAAAACTCCCATACACTATTCAACCTGTTATTTAAAATGCAGTTTGATCTGTATGTTTTATTTTACTTTGTCTCATTCATACAAAGAGAAAAAAAAATTAGCTATTTATTTAATAAATTCTTTTTTATTTGTAATTCTAAGGATGCAAAAATCATCTGGTTGTGTATTTTTGAGGTTTGAATTAGTAATGATCATATGTTCAGAGACAGTGCAAGTAAAGCACAGGAAGTATTTTGGTTTTGCTGATGTTAGTGTACATTTGCAAAGTTTACAATAAAAATATTATTTGCAAACATAGTAGTTGTGAGTACACATAATGACAGGAAGTCATTACAACAATTTCTAGGTTTGAAAGCATGCATTAAAAATAATAATGTTAATAAAAATAATGAAAATAGGTAAATAGTTTGTTATCATGGAAGTTTTTGTTTCATCTTCCTTAAGTGTAGTAAGTAGCTACTGGAACTGGGTAGCAGATAATCAGATTTTTCAGTGTGATTTCTGTTGTATTTTCACTGTGTTTATTAAGGAGTATTAGATATGTGGGGATTTGCTCGTGTAACTTGGTCTATGTGGTATAATAATCACTCATGGTAAGTTGTATTGATATCAGTCTTGTTCTTTTTTTAAGCCCATTCTTACTGGTACTGCAGCTGTAGGATCTGGACTGACCTGGCACAGAACTCTTCCCTTATGCGCAGTTGGAGGAGACCATAAAATTTTCTTTTGGGTAACTGAAATGTAAAATAAGTATTTGCTTCCAATATTTGTACATTTGACACTTTGTTACTTACCTTAAAACATACACTTTTTAAATGTTGTATTTGGTGTGAATTTATTTTTTAAAAGTTTTTTAAAGAGATTTTGTATCTGACAGTCTCAGTTGTTTTCAGAGAGTACCTACAGCAAGAACAGCTGTCTTTGCCTTAACTTTCTGTACCATCACTGTTCTATAAGAAAGAGATACAATATGTAATATCTTAAAATGTTGTCTGTGCATGTGTTTGTTGAATAAAGTATTTCCACAAACTGGGAAGAAGCTAATGGTGTAATCATAATAACTTTAAGCAGTATTATTTCTATTAAGATAACATACGGTTTCAGTCCCAGTATACCAAACAGCTTGTGTGGTGTTATTTTTGTTTGTTTGTTTATTTGTTTTGTTCTTGTTGTTGTTTACAACCTTTTACAGGAAAATCTGAGTTTTAAAGTTCTGGTTATTTATTTTTTCCAAAAAGATATTCTACTGCTGCTCACGTTAAAATATAAAACGTATAAAGCTGTTCTGTAATATTTCTTCTCCTGGAAGTCACACTCCATTTTTCTGCATGTTCCTATACACATTTAAAATATGTTCCTACTTTGTAATGAGTTATCTCTTAAGGTTTTTAAGTCACCTTGGACTGTGGACTAATTAAAAAAAAATATTATTTTAACACAAAGTTTTTGAATATCAACAGACAAAAAAAATCAGGCTTAACTGTTGTTTATTTGTAGTTTTATTTGTTGTATTTGTAGTTTTTATTTGTTGTTTATTTGTTGTTTATCTGAGCTACCAGCAAACTAAAAGACATATTCCAATCTGTTATCATTATTGATTTATATTTATCAATGTAAATATTTTTTAGAAAAACTATTTAGTAATTGAATTGGTACAGTTAAAACCTGTAAGGTCTTTTTAACTTCAGGGTTGTCCTATGTAGTCTAAATTGAGTTACCCTCCTCTAAACAGGAGAGATTTGCTGTATGCTACCACCATTTGCTTCTGTGTGAACTTTCTTAATATTCAGTAAAGACTTGCCACAATACGAACAAAAAGCAGTAATTAGCCTAGACTGGGAACTTCCATTTGTTTAGATGGTAATGCCCCATCTCAATAAATCATGATATAATCAGGCAAATGCAACAATCTGAAAGACCTTGTTTCACTTTCTGCAGGGGGGTTCCCATCTCCTACAGCTTCATCTTCAGTTATCCTTACTAAGGAAACAAAACCTGCAATTCTCACTGAATTTACTTCTCCTAGTTTTGGAGGAAAGTAACTCCAAATCCCAAATATAAACAATTTCTATAGCTGGAAATGTGAGGAGTCTCTGGAGTTAATCTGATTGAACAATAAAAATTTTGCCATTCCACTTCTCTTTTCTGTATAATTCTTAAATGGGGAAATCTCAGATTGAATTTGTATTTTCATTAAGCTATGAAAAGAGACATGTTGAGCCTTTACTCTTCTAAGAATATTATAATGGATACAAATTGGAGAAGTATTTTAAATTGTAAAACCCCTTTCCTTTAACATGCCAAATACCATTGCTTTGGATCTTCTGCTGTGAGACTTGGGGAAAATCAGGTAAAGAGCGGTGCGGGTTTCAGCCAGGATAGGGTTCTTTTTCTTCACAGGGGCTGGTATGCGCATTTTGGAGGAAAGTAACTCCAAATCCCAAATATAAACAAATTCTAGAGATAAAAATGTGAGGAGTCCAAAGTCGTGAAATCTGAAAGACAGCTTACTTTGCTAGGCTTTCTATGAAAGAGGTCATTCTTAATGCAATATTAGAGATCCTTCGATGGAAAGCAAGAACGTTATTTAATCCAAAAGCCGGGTGCCACAAAGAGTAAAGAGATTTGGTGTAAGGGTATCTAACAGATTGAAATGTGGGTAAATATTTTGGTACCACCATAACATCCAGTCATAATGAGTTGCATGCAACTTTTTGACCTCCTTTTTTGTTTTCTTTTTTTTTTTTTTTTCCCCAGTCATTTACCCACCCACATACAATGCAACGAAAACAGATTTAGTAATAAAAGTAAGTATTCAGATAATCTTATAAAAACGTTTTGGTTATCCCAGCTTGTTATAGAAAAGCACCAAAAGTTCAAAACATGCAAAATAGCACAGAGAAGTTGTGCAAATAAGTCTCAAAAGTGTATGACTGCTTCGCATGCAACCAAGAATCGTACAGCAGTGTTCTAGGTGTCTTTGCTGAAGTGCATTGTGTTTCATCACACACGATCAGGCTGCTGGAGGCTTTGCCTTTGGTTATTCCATTTCACCAAGCATCTCATCACTTGTCTTAATGTTGGCGTTGTCCAGAGCCTGTTGGCTTTCGATTGTGAAAGGGCATGGAAGACAAGCTGTGCTAATGCAGAAATGAATGAGTTCCTCTTGATGTAGCACATTCCTAGGTGTTATTTCACAAAATAAATAAAATAAATAAAATAAAATAAAACAAAACAAAACAAAACTTGATTATTTAAATTCTAAAGGAGGATAATGTTCTAATGTGTAAGATAAACAAAAACACTATCGAAACAGTATTTCTGTGCAAAGTGACAGTTCCCTAATGGATATTTCTTTTCCCCTTTAGCAATGAACAAAACGGCTACAATCATCTGGCCAAGCTTTTTGTTCGAAATGATGCTGCTACTATCTTGAGAGAGCTGGAAGCGAGTTTTCCTAGAATAAGATAGTTCAGTTGGAAGGGACCTTCAAAGATCGAGTCCAACTGTCTGAGCTCTTCAAGGAGAATCAAAAGCTAGAGCCCATTCTTGAGGGCATTGCCCAAATGCCTCCGGAACACTGGAAGTCCTGGGGTGTCAAGCACCTCTCAAGGATGCCTGTTCCAGGGTTTGATCGCCCCACAGTAAAGAATTCTTTCCTAATGTGCAGTCTGAACTTAACCCTTGCAGCTTTTCACCATTTCCGTGCATTCTAGCATTCTTGCTTCAGAAGCCTTCAAGGCTGTAAACTACTGTTTCTCTTAGCATGGGTCCAGACGGTTCTGGATGCTAACTGGAAGTGTGTCACCCTGCCAGAGGACTTGTGTATGCCATTTTGTTACATTCTTCACTGGATTGGAGGAAAGTAAATGAGCTCTACCCAGCATGGCCATCAAGCAGATGCAGAAGACGCTTAGTCATTGGGTACTTTGTTCTCCCAAACCACTGCAGATTTAGAAGAGAGTACGCCTAGACAATGCAGTGTTTGGAAAACTGACTGAAATAGCTGGTGTATTAATCTCCTGATGTTGGTGGTTGCCACGTTTTGTCTGCCTACAATATGGTAATCAGAGAGATGAAGCTGGGGATAGAACAGCATCCTCTTCTGAATAAAGTCAAGTCAACATTGTGGAAAGACTGACTTCTAGCTTCTTTCTCATACTGTGCAAAGTGTGTCTATATTACTATGCAAATAATACTGAGTTCTACACGAGACAGAAGATCTAGACACATTTCTAGACAGAAATTATTTTCTAGGATAATCATCAAGAAAGCTGGCCAGCTGTAGGGCAGCATCTTCAAAGCAGTAGTAATTCCTTACTTAATGTATGCAGTCTAAGTAGGGCTAGTACGGAAGTCTCCATTCTGATTTTAAAAAACAATACAAATCTGAAGACTAGTTGCTTAATCTAATGAAGTCATGCACCTTACTCTCTGGCATAAGGTGACACTTGCTCCAGTTATTTTCAAGAACGTAGTGTTGTTATTACACTTTGGGGAAAAAAATACGTAAACTTGGTGTGAGATGAGTACATTCCCAGGGTAGGTAAAACACTAGAATTAAACTGTAATGTAGAGATCTTGTTCGTAAGACACACATATGTGAATTCAGCTTATAGGTCTAAATTCAGGCTTCTCTCATGTTGCAGAAGCGACAGTGAAACCTCTGCACGCTGTCAAAATAGCACAGAACCAATAACAAGGATGTCCAATGTATGTTGCAGGGGAGACGTTCGGGTCTTTGTGATATTTTTTTCATAGATGTTTGTCGTTGTGGCTTTTAGAGAACTGACCCAGTGATGTTAATCCGCATTGCTTTCTTTTCCTACTTCATGCATTCAGCGTATCTTTAGATATAGCTTGAAATTCGGGAGCTTATACTGGACGCACAGGAAAAACCAGGAGCTGCAGTCCAGGTGAGCTGTTAGTGACCAAGATGTGTGACTGTTTTTCAAGGCCCAGCACCCTACTGCAAAAATGCTTGTGAAGGCTTGCCACATGCAAGAGCAAGAAGTTGGAGATGGAACTAGCTTTGTCCTTGTTCTTGATCAAGTCCTGCAGAAATTAGCCTTCTGAGGCTGGGATTATCAGTCTCAGAGGCAAGCTCTATTGCTCCTGCTGTTCTGGAGATTTAGTTCACACTGCCATTGGTCATAGAACTGTGACTAGTCTGCTTTCTTCCAAATGAATTTTTAGTCAGAGGTGTATGGAGAAGAGCACTGTATGTTTCTGTTGCTTGTGATTGTTTGCTTCCCTTGTAAGCTTTTCCATTTGTTTATGTTGTATGGCCCTTTTCCAAGGAGGTAGAAGCAATACGAATGCACAGCCAGGTGAAATATTTGTTGTCTGCTGCACAGGTGAGTGAAAGATATGAAAACGTTGGCAAGGAAGCCCTAGACATTCTTCCAGACGGGGTGTGCTGTTCGCAATGAACCTTGGAGATTTTGAAGTGGCATCTGTGTTGCGTCTTTCAGTCATACGCAGAAAGGATGGCACTGAAGGCTTCTTTTGTTGAAGCTTATTGCTCAGGCCTGTAGCAAGTGGATAAGAACATACCTGTGCACGCGTCTAAAGACTTCAGTGGCTTGACTAACTTCTTCATAGAAGACAAAAGTTGTGGTTAGTTTATCAGGGTAAACTGATGGAATACAGCAGCCTCTGAAATTAGTATGACATTGAACTCTTTGCTGACACTGTGGCTCAGAAAAGACCTGTACTTTCTACTAAATCTTTACGGAAATAGCTTCCTGCTTTTATCTTTCAAGCAGAAAACCCTTTTTCGTAGACTTTGTTGGCATTGCGAGGATACACGAAGAGAATTCTGCAGAAGGGGGGGGTGTGATTTAAAAGGCTAAGAGAACACACTGAGTGTGTTGGCTTGCTTTCTCAACTGCTAACATATCCAATCAAAGCCTAGGAACTGAATCAAGAAAGGAAGGGTTGCACATCTTCCGTTTATGGCATTCTCAAAATGTACGTAGTGTCTTGTTCTAGTTGGACCTACAGAGCAGCCTCTGGCAGACCACTGGCATTGCAGAGCATCACCTTGCTGAAGCAGCGCTATTGAAGTCCCTAAGCATTTGCAAGGAACAGTGACAAACTGGTAAGAGATTGCTGTTTGCTTGTGTTAACCTTGCCTGCCTGGGAGCCTGATTTCCCTCCCCAGCTGGAGAAGCTGGAGGGACATCAAGGAGGCTGGAAGGGGGCTATTCAGGGGACCACACAGGGAAGGGGAAGCAACGGCCAGCTGAGGGCTGATCCCTTTTAAATGGCTTGATTTGCTTCTTGGCTCTTGAGTCAAAACACCCAGAGCTACGTTGCAGGACCAGCAATATGCCTGCTCCGGCTGCTCCAGACAGAGCCACACTGTGATGTCACTGTGATGGTGACACTGGGTCGTCACGGTGACGTTTGAGCTTCCCCCACCAGAACCCCCAGACAGTCCGTTGAGCCTCACGGGCTGACTGGCAGCACCAGCAGTAGCCTCTGGCAGAAATGGCTGCAGACGGAAACTCGAGTGACAACGAGATAAATGACATCAAACAGGAGCCACTGCCAGAAGACATGTCGTACGGTTTAGCTCCAGACGAGCTGTTTGAGTCTTCGGACTCCCCTGCTCCTGAGCCTCTGGCACAGGATAAAGGAGCAGCTTGTGATGCTCCTGGAGCATCAACAAGGGGAGAAAAAGATCCCCAAGCTCTCCCTGAGGACCCTGAGACCAAACACCTTCCTCATCATTCTTCTGAGGAGGACGCTGGCCAGGACAACGTCTTCTCATCCCTCGGCTTCCCAAGGAAACTCTGGCAACTGGCTGAAAGTGAGGAATTTAAGGCCATCTGGTGGGGTCACTCTGGAACCTGTATCGTGATCGACAAGGAAATGTTTGAAGCGGAAGTGCTGGGAAGGACAAGCCCTCCGAGAGTTTTTGAGACTGAGAGAATGCAAAGTTTCATCCGTCAGCTTAATCTCTATGGATTCAGAAAACTGCAGCAGGACCTGCAAAGCTCTGCCTCGCTTCCTGATCTTCCTAAAGAAGAGGATGCATTTTCTGCTCCTAGGAAGGTACCTCCATTGCTCCACGCGTGAACCAATTCTCACAGTATTCTGATAACAGCAGATGTTCTGGTCTTACTTGCTTGTTCAGGCTACTTCCAGGTGTTTTAGAGCTAGCATTGCTGAGGGGTAGAAATGCAGATAACGTTCATTTGGGTGGTACCCAATGAGTTTGAACCCATGGAACACAAAGATCAATAAATCAGGCTATGAGGAGTCTCTTTATTTTCAGCCATTTGCAACGCACCAGGACTGTATCATCAGGACTGGATCATTAAGTTGTAGGCTTAAACCGACCAATAGATCTTGCTAAGCCAGGATTGCCTTTACCAATTAAAATCCCCAGTTCTTGTCTCTTGCTGTTTCTCAGTCCCAAACACGGAGCAACTAATTCTTCTCCTTTGCATTTTTTAGCTACTCTACTACTATAACCCCAACTTCAAGAGAGCTGCTCCCCACCTGCTCAAGAACTGCAAGCGACGAGTTGCCCCCAAGAGGAAAGCCCTGCAGGCGGGGCTGGATGAGAGCTGCCCCAGCAGCAGCCTAAATTCCCAGCCTGGCTGCAGAGACCTTGATATGGAGGAGGACGACCCCATGGCAGCAGCTCCAGCAGAAACACAGCCAGCGGCACGCGCAGGGTCCCCAGTCCCCAGGCACTGGGCAAAAGCCACCCCTGAAGCCAGCGGAGCCCCGACAGCCTCGCAGGGAGCTTCTCCCACCCTGCCAGATCCTGCTGCAGCAGCAGGCAGGGCCAAGCAGCAGCGTCTGGACCCCTCCCTGCTGCTAGCAGGCAGCAGCCACACCTCAGCTGCCGCTCCTGCTCCCTCCCCACACCACGTCCTCCCTTCCCACATCCCCCTGTGCCCAAACGCAGGAGCTCCGCAGGCTCCCCCGGCTGCCCTGCCTCCGTGCCGTCAGCTACCCTTTCCACTGGCCTTGCTGGCAGTCGCCTCGGCTGCAGCCCTTTTGCAGCCATACAGCTGGCAGTGCCTGGCAGCCCCACACTGCCCGACCTGCACCTGCGAACAAGACAGGGCAGCTGCCGGAGACACAATGGCACCCAGGCATGGCACCCGCTAGACAGAGCACGGATAGCAGCACCCCCTCACACGTTCATAGTCTCTTAGTTCATAGGTTGATAGTGCTGGAGTTCAACTGTTACAATAAGAAAACGTTCCCAGTTCCACTTGGTTAGGTCATAGATTGATTGCTCTGGACTTAGTCTGTTTGCACAATAAAACTTTTGCCGTTCCAGTTGTCTTTTTTGTATTATTCTTAAAAGGGGAAATCTCCGATTGAATTGGTATTTGGTCTCTCAAAAGGAAGTAGAAGCAACTGTTCTAACATCAATTGGATCGTTTTCCAGAACAGACCAGCTCTCGAGGTTCTTAGCCACAGAGAGTAAAAGACTGGAAAATGTCTGCATGCCACATGCACTGCGGATGCTCTTCCTAACGATGACTTCTAACGGAAAGATAGGAGAGAGGAATTAAATAACAGCATTTGAATTATGGAAGACTCAGAAAGGGAATGTCACAGAATCACAGAATTGTAGGGGTTGGAAGGGACCTCAGGAGATCATCGGGTCCAACCCCCCTCCCAAAGCAGGCTCCTGAGAGCAGGCTGCCCAGGTAGGCATCCAGGCGGGCCTTGAATATCTCCAGAGAAGGAGAGCCCACAGCCTCCCTGGGCAGCCTGTTCCAGTGCTCTGTCACCCTCACTGTGAAGAAGTTCTTTCGCACGCTGCTGCGGAACTTCCTGACATCCATGTTGTGGCCATTGCCCCTTGTCCTGTCCCCACAAACCACCCAAAAGAGGTTGGCCAAATCCCTCTGCCTCCCACGCTTAAGATATGTGTAACATTAATACCATCCCCAATTCACCTTTGGGTGAATGCTTGCAAAGTTCACACTAAATTGGCAGGCAGGAACAACCCTTGATTCAATTTCTGAGCTAACTTTTACGAAGGAGCTGAGAAACCAATGGCTTTGGAGAGTCCAAACCTGAAAAAACAGAGAACAGAGTTTAGAAACTATGAAAAGAGACATGTTGAGCCTTTACTCTTCTAAGAATATTATAATGGATACAAATTGGAGAAGTATTTTAAATTGTAAAACCCCTTTCCTTTAACATGCCAAATACCATTGCTTTGGATCTTCTGCTGTGAGACTTGGGGAAAATCAGGTAAAGAGCGGTGCGGGTTTCAGCCAGGATAGGGTTCTTTTTCTTCACAGGGGCTGGTATGCGCATTTTGGAGGAAAGTAACTCCAAATCCCAAATATAAACAACTTCTAGGGATAGAAATGTGAGGAGTCCAACATCGTGAAATCTGAAAGACAGCTTACTTTGCTAGGCTTTCTATGAAAGAGGTCATTCTTAATGCAATATTAGAGATCCTTCGATGGAAAGCAAGAACATTATTTAATCCAAAAGCCAGGTGCCACAAAGAGTAAAGAGATTTGGTGTAAGGGTATCTAACAGATTGAAATGTGGGTAAATATTTTGGTACCACCATAACATCCAGTCATAATGAGTTGCATGCAACTTTTTGACCTCCTTTTTTGTTTTCTTTTTTTTTCTTTTTTTCCCCCAGTCATTTACCCACCCACATACAATGCAACGAAAACAGATTTAGTAATAAAAGTAAGTATTCAGATAATCTTATAAAAACGCTTTGGTTATTCCAGCTTGTTATAGAAAAGCACCAAAAGTTCAAAACATGCAAAATAGCACAGAGAAGTTGTGCAAATAAGTCTCAAAAGTGCATGACTGCTTCGCATGCAACCAAGAATCGTACAGCAGTGTTCTAGGTGTCTTTGCTGAAGTGCATTGTGTTTCATCACACACGATCAGGCTGCTGGAGGCTTTGCCTTTGGTTATTCCATTTCACCAAGCATCTCATCACTTGTCTTAATGTTGGCGTTGTCCAGAGCCTGTTGGCTTTCGATTGTGAAAGGGCATGGAAGACAAGCTGTGCTAATGCAGAAATGAATGAGTTCCTCTTGATGTAGCACATTCCTAGGTGTTATTTCACAAAATAAATAAATAAAATAAAATAAAATAAATAAAATAAAATAAAATAAAATAAAATAAAATAAAATAAAATAAAATAAAATAAAATAAAATAAAATAAAATAAAATAAAATAAATAAAATAAAATAAAACTTGATTATTTAAATTCTAAAGGAGGCTAATGTTCTAATGTGTAAGATAAACAAAAACACTATCGCAACAGTATTTCTGTGCAAAGTGACAGTTCCCTAATGGATATTTCTTTTCCCCTTTAGCAATGAACAAAACGGCTACAATCATCTGGCCAAGCTTTTTGTTCGAAATGATGCTGCTACTATCTTGAGAGAGCTGGAAGCGAGTTTTCCTAGAATAAGATAGTTCAGTTGGAAGGGACCTTCAAAGATCGAGTCCAACTGTCTGAGCTCTTCAAGGAGAATCAAAAGCTAGAGCCCATTCTTGAGGGCATTGCCCAAATGCCTCCGGAACACTGGAAGTCCTGGGGTGTCAAGCACCTCTCAAGGATGCCTGTTCCAGGGTTTGATCGCCCCACAGTAAAGAATTCTTTCCTAATGTGCAGTCTGAACTTAACCCTTGCAGCTTTTCACCATTTCCGTGCATTCTAGCATTCTTGCTTCAGAAGCCTTCAAGGCTGTAAACTACTGTTTCTCTTAGCATGGGTCCAGACGGTTCTGGATGCTAACTGGAAGTGTGTCACCCTGCCAGAGGACTTGTGTATGCCATTTTGTTACATTCTTCACTGGATTGGAGGAAAGTAAATGAGCTCTACCCAGCATGGCCATCAAGCAGATGCAGAAGACGCTTAGTCATTGGGTACTTTGTTCTCCCAAACCACTGCAGATTTAGAAGAGAGTACGCCTAGACAATGCAGTGTTTGGAAAACTGACTGAAATAGCTGGTGTATTAATCTCCTGATGTTGGTGGTTGCCACGTTTTGTCTGCCTACAATATGGTGATCAGAGAGATGAAGCTGGGGATAGAACAGCATCCTCTTCTGAATAAAGTCAAGTCAACATTGTGGAAAGACTGACTTCTAGCTTCTTTCTCATACTGTGCAAAGTGTGTCTATATTACTATGCAAATAATACTGAGTTCTACACGAGACAGAAGATCTAGACACATTTCTAGACAGAAATTATTTTCTAGGATAATCATCAAGAAAGCTGGCCAGCTGTAGGGCAGCATCTTCAAAGCAGTAGTAATTCCTTACTTAATGTATGCAGTCTAAGTAGGGCTAGTACGGAAGTCTCCATTCTGATTTTAAAAAACAATACAAATCTGAAGACTAGTTGCTTAATCTAATGAAGTCATGCACCTTACTCTCTGGCATAAGGTGACACTTGCTCCAGTTATTTTCAAGAACGTGGTGTTGTTATTACACTTTGGGGAAAAAAATACGTAAACTTGGTGTGAGATGAGTACATTCCCAGGGTAGGTAAAACACTAGAATTAAACTGTAATGTAGAGATCTTGTTCGTAAGACACACATATGTGAATTCAGCTTATAGGTCTAAATTCAGGCTTCTCTCATGTTGCAGAAGCGACAGTGAAACCTCTGCACGCTGTCAAAATAGCACAGAACCAATAACAAGGATGTCCAATGTATGTTGCAGGGGAGACGTTCGGGTCTTTGTGATTTTTTTTTTCATAGATGTTTGTCGTTGTGGCTTTTAGAGAACTGACCCAGTGATGTTAATCCGCATTGCTTTCTTTTCCTACTTCATGCATTCAGCGTGTCTTTAGATATAGCTTGAAATTCGGGAGCTTATACTGGACGCACAGGAAAAACCAGGAGCTGCAGTCCAGGTGAGCTGTTAGTGACCAAGATGTGTGACTGCTTTTCAAGGCCCAGCACCCTACTGCAAAAATGCTTGTGAAGGCTTGCCACATGCAAGAGCAAGAAGTTGGAGATGGAACTAGCTTTGTCCTTGTTCTTGATCAAGTCCTGCAGAAATTAGCCTTCTGAGGCTGGGATTATCAGTCTCAGAGGCAAGCTCTATTGCTCCTGCCGTTCTGGAGATTTAGTTCACACTGCCATTGGTCATAGAACTGTGACTAGTCTGCTTTCTTCCAAATGAATTTTTAGTCAGAGGTGTATGGAGAAGAGCACTGTATGTTTCTGTTGCTTGTGATTGTTTGCTTCCCTTGTAAGCTTTTCCATTTGTTTATGTTGTATGGCCCTTTTCCAAGGAGGTAGAAGCAATACGAATGCACAGCCAGGTGAAATATTTGTTGTTTGCTGCACAGGTGAGTGAAAGATATGAAAACGTTGGCAAGGAAGCCCTAGACATTCTTCCAGACGGGGTGTGCTGTTCGCAATGAACCTTGGAGAGTTTGAAGTGGCATCTGTGTTGCGTCTTTCAGTCATACGCAGAAAGGATGGCACTGAAGGCTTCTTTTGTTGAAGCTTATTGCTCAGGCCTGTAGCAAGTGGATAAGAACATACCTGTGCACGCGTCTAAAGACTTCAGTGGCTTGACTAACTTCTTCATAGAAGACAAAAGTTGTGGTTAGTTTATCAGGGTAAACTGATGGAATACATCAGCCTCTGAAATTAGTATGACATTGAACTCTTTGCTGACACTGTGGCTCAGAAAAGACCTGTACTTTCTACTAAATCTTTACGGAAATAGCTTCCTGCTTTTATCTTTCAAGCAGAAAACCCTTTTTCGTAGACTTTGTTGGCATTGCGAGGATACACGAAGAGAATTCTGCAGAAGGGGGGGGTGTGATTTAAAAGGCTAAGAGAACACACTGAGTGTGTTGGCTTGCTTTCTCAACTGCTAACATATCCAATCAAAGCCTAGGAACTGAATCAAGAAAGGAAGGGTTGCACATCTTCCGTTTATGGCATTCTCAAAATGTACGTAGTGTCTTGTTCTAGTTGGACCTACAGAGCAGCCTCTGGCAGACCACTGGCATTGCAGAGCATCACCTTGCTGAAGCAGCGCTATTGAAGTCCCTAAGCATTTGCAAGGAACAGTGACAAACTGGTAAGAGATTGCTGTTTGCTTGTGTTAACCTTGCCTGCCTGGGAGCCTGATTTCCCTCCCCAGCTGGAGAAGCCGGAGGGACATCAAGGAGGCTGGAAGGGGGCTATTCAGGGGACCACACAGGGAAGGGGAAGCAACGGCCAGCTGAGGGCTGATCCCTTTTAAATGGCTTGATTTGCTTCTTGGCTCTTGAGTCAAAACACCCATAGCTACGTTGCAGGACCAGCAATATGCCTGCTCCGGCTGCTCCAGACAGAGCCACACTGTGATGTCACTGTGATGGTGACACTGGGTCGTCACGGTGACGTTTGAGCTTCCCCCACCAGAACCCCCAGACAGTCCGTTGAGCCTCACTGGCTGACTGGCAGCACCAGCAGTAGCCTCTGGCAGAAATGGCTGCAGACGGAAACTCGAGTGACAACGAGATAAATGACATCAAACAGGAGCCACTGCCAGAAGACATGTCGTACGGTTTTGCTCCAGACGAGCTGTTTGAGTCTTCGGACTCCCCTGCTCCTGAGCCTCTGGCACAGGATAAAGGAGCAGCTTGTGATGCTCCTGGAGCATCAACAAGGGGAGAAAAAGATCCCCAAGCTCTCCCTGAGGACCCTGAGACCAAACACCTTCCTCATCATTCTTCTGAGGAGGACGCTGGCCAGGACAACGTCTTCTCATCCCTCGGCTTCCCAAGGAAACTCTGGCAACTGGCTGAAAGTGAGGAATTTAAGGCCATCTGGTGGGGTCACTCTGGAACCTGTATCGTGATCGACAAGGAAATGTTTGAAGCGGAAGTGCTGGGAAGGACAAGCCCTCCGAGAGTTTTTGAGACTGAGAGAATGCAAAGTTTCATCCGTCAGCTTAATCTCTATGGATTCAGAAAACTGCAGCAGGACCTGCAAAGCTCTGCCTCGCTTCCTGATCTTCCTAAAGAAGAGGATGCATTTTCTGCTCCTAGGAAGGTACCTCCATTGCTCCACGCGTGAACCAATTCTCACAGTATTCTGATAACAGCAGATGTTCTGGTCTTACTTGCTTGTTCAGGCTACTTCCAGGTGTTTTAGAGCTAGCATTGCTGAGGGGTAGAAATGCAGATAACGTTCATTTGGGTGGTACCCAATGAGTTTGAACCCATGGAACACAAAGATCAATAAATCAGGCTATGAGGAGTCTCTTTATTTTCAGCCATTTGCAACGCACCAGGACTGTATCATCAGGACTGGATCATTAAGTTGTAGGCTTAAACCGACCAATAGATCTTGCTAAGCCAGGATTGCCTTTACCAATTAAAATCCCCAGTTCTTGTCTCTTGCTGTTTCTCAGTCCCAAACACGGAGCAACTAATTCTTCTCCTTTGCATTTTTTAGCTACTCTACTACTATAACCCCAACTTCAAGAGAGCTGCTCCCCACCTGCTCAAGAACTGCAAGCGACGAGTTGCCCCCAAGAGGAAAGCCCTGCAGGCGGGGCTGGATGAGAGCTGCCCCAGCAGCAGCCTAAATTCCCAGCCTGGCTGCAGAGACCTTGATATGGAGGAGGACGACCCCATGGCAGCAGCTCCAGCAGAAACACAGCCAGCGGCACGCGCAGGGTCCCCAGTCCCCAGGCACCGGGCAAAAGCCACCCCTGAAGCCAGCGGAGCCCCGACAGCCTCGCAGGGAGCTTCTCCCACCCTGCCAGATCCTGCTGCAGCAGCAGGCAGGGCCAAGCAGCAGCGTCTGGACCCCTCCCTGCTGCTAGCAGGCAGCAGCCACACCTCAGCTGCCGCTCCTGCTCCCTCCCCACACCACGTCCTCCCTTCCCACATCCCCCTGTGCCCAAACGCAGGAGCTCCGCAGGCTCCCCCGGCTGCCCTGCCTCCGTGCCGTCAGCTACCCTTTCCACTGGCCTTGCTGGCAGTCGCCTCGGCTGCAGCCCTTTTGCAGCCATACAGCTGGCAGTGCCTGGCAGCCCCACACTGCCCGACCTGCACCTGCGAACAAGACAGGGCAGCTGCCGGAGACACAATGGCACCCAGGCATGGCACCCGCTAGACAGAGCACGGATAGCAGCACCCCCTCACACGTTCATAGTCTCTTAGTTCATAGGTTGATAGTGCTGGAGTTCAACTGTTACAATAAGAAAACGTTCCCAGTTCCACTTGGTTAGGTCATAGATTGATTGCTCTGGACTTAGTCTGTTTGCACAATAAAACTTTTGCCGTTCCAGTTGTCTTTTTTGTATTATTCTTAAAAGGGGAAATCTCCGATTGAATTGGTATTTGGTCTCTCAAAAGGAAGTAGAAGCAACTGTTCTAACATCAATTGGATCGTTTTCCAGAACAGACCAGCTCTCGAGGTTCTTAGCCACAGAGAGTAAAAGACTGGAAAATGTCTGCATGCCACATGCACTGCGGATGCTCTTCCTAACGATGACTTCTAACGGAAAGATAGGAGAGAGGAATTAAATAACAGCATTTGAATTATGGAAGACTCAGAAAGGGAATGTCACAGAATCACAGAATTGTAGGGGTTGGAAGGGACCTCAGGAGATCATCGGGTCCAACCCCCCTCCCAAAGCAGGCTCCTGAGAGCAGGCTGCCCAGGTAGGCATCCAGGCGGGCCTTGAATATCTCCAGAGAAGGAGAGCCCACAGCCTCCCTGGGCAGCCTGTTCCAGTGCTCTGTCACCCTCACTGTGAAGAAGTTCTTTCGCACGCTGCTGCGGAACTTCCTGACATCCATGTTGTGGCCATTGCCCCTTGTCCTGTCCCCACAAACCACCCAAAAGAGGTTGGCCAAATCCCTCTGCCTCCCACGCTTAAGATATGTGTAACATTAATACCATCCCCAATTCACCTTTGGGTGAATGCTTGCAAAGTTCACACTAAATTGGCAGGCAGGAACAACCCTTGATTCAATTTCTGAGCTAACTTTTACGAAGGAGCTGAGAAACCAATGGCTTTGGAGAGTCCAAACCTGAAAAAACAGAGAACAGAGTTCACAAGCTATGAAAAGAGACATGTTGAGCCTTTACTCTTCTAAGAGCATTATAATGGATACAAATTGGAGAAGAATTTTAAATTGTAAAACCCCATTCTGTTAACATGCCAAATACCATTGCTTTGGATCTTCTGCTGTGAGACTTGGGGAAAATCAGGTAAAGAGCGGTGCGGGTTTCAGCCAGGATAGGGTTCTTTTTCTTCACAGGGGCTGGTATGCGCATTTTGGAGGAAAGTAACTCCAAATCCCAAATATAAACAACTTCTAGGGATAGAAATGTGAGGAGTCCAACATCGTGAAATCTGAAAGACAGCTTACTTTGCTAGGCTTTCTATGAAAGAGGTCATTCTTAATGCAATATTAGAGATCCTTCGATGGAAAGCAAGAACATTATTTAATCCAAAAGCCAGGTGCCACAAAGAGTAAAGAGATTTGGTGTAAGGGTATCTAACAGATTGAAATGTGGGTAAATATTTTGGTACTACCATAACATCCAGTCATAATGAGTTGCATGCAACTTTTTGACCTCCTTTTTTGTTTTCTTTTTTTTTCTTTTTTTCCCCCAGTCATTTACCCACCCACATACAATGCAACGAAAACAGATTTAGTAATAAAAGTAAGTATTCAGATAATCTTATAAAAACGTTTTGGTTATTCCAGCTTGTTATAGAAAAGCACCAAAAGTTCAAAACATGCAAAATAGCACAGAGAAGTTGTGCAAATAAGTCTCAAAAGTGCATGACTGCTTCGCATGCAACCAAGAATCGTACAGCAGTGTTCTAGGTGTCTTTGCTGAAGTGCATTGTGTTTCATCACACACGATCAGGCTGCTGGAGGCTTTGCCTTTGGTTATTCCATTTCACCAAGCATCTCATCACTTGTCTTAATGTTGGCGTTGTCCAGAGCCTGTTGGCTTTCGATTGTGAAAGGGCATGGAAGACAAGCTGTGCTAATGCAGAAATGAATGAGTTCCTCTTGATGTAGCACATTCCTAGGTGTTATTTCACAAAATAAATAAAATAAAATAAAATAAAATAAAATAAAATAAAATAAAATAAAATAAAATAAAATAAAATAAAATAAAATAAAATAGAATAAAATAAAATAAAATAAAATAAATAAAATAAAATAAAACTTGATTATTTAAATTCTAAAGGAGGCTAATGTTCTAATGTGTAAGATAAACAAAAACACTATCGAAACAGTATTTCTGTGCAAAGTGACAGTTCCCTAATGGATATTTCTTTTCCCCTTTAGCAATGAACAAAACGGCTACAATCATCTGGCCAAGCTTTTTGTTTGAAATGATGCTGCTACTATCTTGAGAGAGCTGGAAGCGAGTTTTCCTAGAATAAGATAGTTCAGTTGGAAGGGACCTTCAAAGATCGAGCCCAACTGTCTGAGCTCTTCAAGGAGAATCAAAAGCTAGAGCCCATTCTTGAGGGCATTGCCCAAATGCCTCCGGAACACTGGAAGTCCTGGGGTGTCAAGCACCTCTCAAGGATGCCTGTTCCAGGGTTTGATCGCCCCACAGTAAAGAATTCTTTCCTAATGTGCAGTCTGAACTTAACCCTTGCAGCTTTTCACCATTTCCGTGCATTCTAGCATTCTTGCTTCAGAAGCCTTCAAGGCTGTAAACTACTGTTTCTCTTAGCATGGGTCCAGACGGTTCTGGATGCTAACTGGAAGTGTGTCACCCTGCCAGAGGACTTGTGTATGCCATTTTGTTACATTCTTCACTGGATTGGAGGAAAGTAAATGAGCTCTACCCAGCATGGCCATCAAGCAGATGCAGAAGACGCTTAGTCATTGGGTACTTTGTTCTCCCAAACCACTGCAGATTTAGAAGAGAGTACGCCTAGACAATGCAGTGTTTGGAAAACTGACTGAAATAGCTGGTGTATTAATCTCCTGATGTTGGTGGTTGCCACGTTTTGTCTGCCTACAATATGGTAATCAGAGAGATGAAGCTGGGGATAGAACAGCATCCTCTTCTGAATAAAGTCAAGTCAACATTGTGGAAAGACTGACTTCTAGCTTCTTTCTCATACTGTGCAAAGTGTGTCTATATTACTATGCAAATAATACTGAGTTCTACACGAGACAGAAGATCTAGACACATTTCTAGACAGAAATTATTTTCTAGGATAATCATCAAGAAAGCTGGCCAGCTAGTAGGGCAGCATCTTCAAAGCAGTAGTAATTCCTTACTTAATGTATGCAGTCTAAGTAGGGCTAGTACGGAAGTCTCCATTCTGATTTTAAAAAACAATACAAATCTGAAGACTAGTTGCTTAATCTAATGAAGTCATGCACCTTACTCTCTGGCATAAGGTGACACTTGCTCCAGTTATTTTCAAGAACGTAGGTGTTGTTATTACACTTTGGGGAAAAAAATACGTAAACTTGGTGTGAGATGAGTACATTCCCAGGGTAGGTAAAACACTAGAATTAAACTGTAATGTAGAGATCTTGTTCGTAAGACACACATATGTGAATTCAGCTTATAGGTCTAAATTCAGGCTTCTCTCATGTTGCAGAAGCGACAGTGAAACCTCTGCACGCTGTCAAAATAGCACAGAACCAATAACAAGGATGTCCAATGTATGTTGCAGGGGAGACGTTCGGGTCTTTGTGATTTTTTTTTTCATAGATGTTTGTCGTTGTGGCTTTTAGAGAACTGACCCAGTGATGTTAATCCGCATTGCTTTCTTTTCCTACTTCATGCATTCAGCGTATCTTTAGATATAGCTTGAAATTCGGGAGCTTCATACTGGACGCACAGGAAAAACCAGGAGCTGCAGTCCAGGTGAGCTGTTAGTGACCAAGATGTGTGACTGCTTTTTCAAGGCCCAGCACCCTACTGCAAAAATGCTTGTGAAGGCTTGCCACATGCAAGAGCAAGAAGTTGGAGATGGAACTAGCTTTGTCCTTGTTCTTGATCAAGTCCTGCAGAAATTAGCCTTCTGAGGCTGGGATTACCAGTCTCAGAGGCAAGCTCTATTGCTCCTGCCGTTCTGGAGATTTAGTTCACACTGCCATTGGTCATAGAACTGTGACTAGTCTGCTTTCTTCCAAATGAATTTTTAGTCAGAGGTGTATGGAGAAGAGCACTGTATGTTTCTGTTGCTTGTGATTGTTTGCTTCCCTTGTAAGCTTTTCCATTTGTTTATGTTGTATGGCCCTTTTCCAAGGAGGTAGAAGCAATACGAATGCACAGCCAGGTGAAATATTTGTTGTTTGCTGCACAGGTGAGTGAAAGATATGAAAACGTTGGCAAGGAAGCCCTAGACATTCTTCCAGACGGGGTGTGCTGTTCGCAATGAACCTTGGAGATTTTGAAGTGGCATCTGTGTTGCGTCTTTCAGTGATACGCAGAAAGGATGGCACTGAAGGCTTCTTTTGTTGAAGCTTATTGCTCAGGCCTGTAGCAAGTGGATAAGAACATACCTGTGCACGCGTCTAAAGACTTCAGTGGCTTGACTAACTTCTTCATAGAAGACAAAAGTTGTGGTTAGTTTATCAGGGTAAACTGATGGAATACATCAGCCTCTGAAATTAGTATGACATTGAACTCTTTGCTGACACTGTGGCTCAGAAAAGACCTGTACTTTCTACTAAATCTTTACGGAAATAGCTTCCTGCTTTTATCTTTCAAGCAGAAAACCCTTTTTCGTAGACTTTGTTGGCATTGCGAGGATACACGAAGAGAATTCTGCAGAAGGGGGGGGTGTGATTTAAAAGGCTAAGAGAACACACTGAGTGTGTTGGCTTGCTTTCTCAACTGCTAACATATCCAATCAAAGCCTAGGAACTGAATCAAGAAAGGAAGGGTTGCACATCTTCCGTTTATGGCATTCTCAAAATGTACGTAGTGTCTTGTTCTAGTTGGACCTACAGAGCAGCCTCTGGCAGACCACTGGCATTGCAGAGCATCACCTTGCTGAAGCAGCGCTATTGAAGTCCCTAAGCATTTGCAAGGAACAGTGACAAACTGGTAAGAGATTGCTGTTTGCTTGTGTTAACCTTGCCTGCCTGGGAGCCTGATTTCCCTCCCCAGCTGGAGAAGCCGGAGGGACATCAAGGAGGCTGGAAGGGGGCTATTCAGGGGACCACACAGGGAAGGGGAAGCAACGGCCAGCTGAGGGCTGATCCCTTTTAAATGGCTTGATTTGCTTCTTGGCTCTTGAGTCAAAACACCCATAGCTACGTTGCAGGACCAGCAATATGCCTGCCTGCTCCAGACAGAGCCACACTGTGATGTCACTGTGATGGTGACACTGGGTCGTCACGGTGACGTTTGAGCTTCCCCCACCAGAACCCCCAGACAGTCCGTTGAGCCTCACTGGCTGACTGGCAGCACCAGCAGTAGCCTCTGGCAGAAATGGCTGCAGACGGAAACTCGAGTGACAACGAGATAAATGACATCAAACAGGAGCCACTGCCAGAAGACATGTCGTACGGTTTTGCTCCAGACGAGCTGTTTGAGTCTTCGGACTCCCCTGCTCCTGAGCCTCTGGCACAGGATAAAGGAGCAGCTTGTGATGCTCCTGTAGCATCAACAAGGGGAGAAAAAGATCCCCAAGCTCTCCCTGAGGACCCTGAGACCAAACACCTTCCTCATCATTCTTCTGAGGAGGACGCTGGCCAGGACAACGTCTTCTCATCCCTCGGCTTCCCAAGGAAACTCTGGCAACTGGCTGAAAGTGAGGAATTTAAGGCCATCTGGTGGGGTCACTCTGGAACCTGTATCGTGATCGACAAGGAAATGTTTGAAGCGGAAGTGCTGGGAAGGACAAGCCCTCCGAGAGTTTTTGAGACTGAGAGAATGCAAAGTTTCATCCGTCAGCTTAATCTCTATGGATTCAGAAAACTGCAGCAGGACCTGCAAAGCTCTGCTCGCTTCCTGATCTTCCTAAAGAAGAGGATGCATTTCTGCTCCTAGGAAGGTACCTCCATTGCTCCACGCGTGAACCAATTCTCACAGTATTCTGATAACAGCAGATGTTCTGGTCTTACTTGCTTGTTCAGGCTACTTCCAGGTGTTTTAGAGCTAGCATTGCTGAGGGGTAGAAATGCAGATAACGTTCATTTGGGTGGTACCCAATGAGTTTGAACCCATGGAACACAAAGATCAATAAATCAGGCTATGAGGAGTCTCTTTATTTCAGCCATTTGCAACGCACCAGGACTGTATCAGCAGGACTGGATCATTAAGTTGTAGGCTTAAACCGACCAATAGATCTTGCTAAGCCAGGATTGCCTTTACCAATTAAATCCCCAGTTCTTGTCTCTTGCTGTTTCTCAGTCCCAAACACGGAGCAACTAATTCTTCTCCTTTGCATTTTTAGCTACTCTACTACTATAACCCCAACTTCAAGAGAGCTGCTCCCCACCTGCTCAAGAACTGCAAGCGACAGAGTTGCCCCCAAGAGGAAGGCCCTGCAGGCGGGGCTGGATGAGAGCTGCCCCAGCAGCAGCCTAAATTCCCAGCCTGGCTGCAGAGACCTTGATATGGAGGAGGACGACCCCATGGCAGCAGCTCCAGCAGAAACACAGCCAGCGGCACGCGCAGGGTCCCCAGTCCCCAGGCACTGGGCAAAAGCCACCCCTGAAGCCAGCGGAGCCCCGACAGCCTCGCAGGGAGCTTCTCCCACCCTGCCAGATCCTGCTGGCAGCAGCAGGCAGGGCCAAGCAGCAGCGTCTGGACCCCTCCCTGCTGCTAGCAGGCAGCAGCCACACCTCAGCTGCCGCTCCTGCTCCCTCCCCACACCACGTCCTCCCTTCCCACATCCCCCTGTGCCCAAACGCAGGAGCTCCGCAGGCTCCCCCGGCTGCCCTGCCTCCGTGCCGTCAGCTACCCTTTCCACTGGCCTTGCTGGCAGTCGCCTCGGCTGCAGCCCTTTTGCAGCCATACAGCTGGCAGTGCCTGGCAGCCCCACACTGCCCGACCTGCACCTGCGAACAAGACAGGGCAGCTGCCGGAGACACAAGGGCACCCAGGCATGGCACCCGCTAGACAGAGCACGGATAGCAGCACCCCCTCACACGTTCATAGTCTCTTAGTTCATAGGTTGATAGTGCTGGAGTTCAACTGTTACAATAAGAAAACTTTCCCAGTTCCACTTGGTTAGGTCATAGATTGATTGCTCTGGACTTAGTCTGTTTGCACAATAAAACTTTTGCCGTTCCAGTTGTCTTTTTTGTATTATTCTTAAAAGGGGAAATCTCCGATTGAATTGGTATTTGGTCTCTCAAAAGGAAGTAGAAGCAACTGTTCTAACATCAATTGCATCGTTTTCCAGAACAGACCAGCTCTCGAGGTTCTTAGCCACAGAGAGTAAAAGACTGGAAAATGTCTGCATGCCACATGCACTGCGGATGCTCTTCCTAACGATGACTTCTAACGGAAAGATAGGAGAGAGGAATTAAATAACAGCATTTGAATTATGGAAGACTCAGAAAGGGAATGTCACAGAATCACAGAATTGTAGGGGTTGGAAGGGACCTCAGGAGATCATCGGGTCCAACCCCCCTCCCAAAGCAGGCTCCTGAGAGCAGGCTGCCCAGGTAGGCATCCAGGCGGGCCTTGAATATCTCCAGAGAAGGAGAGCCCACAAGCCTCCCTGGGCAGCCTGTTCCAGTGCTCTGTCACCCTCACTGTGAAGAAGTTCTTTCGCACGCTGCTGCGGAACTTCCTGTACATCCATGTTGTGGCCATTGCCCCTTGTCCTGTCCCCACAAACCACCCAAAAGAGGTTGGCCAAATCCCTCTGCCTCCCACGCTTGAGATATATGTAATATTAATACCATCCCTAATTCACCTTTGGGTGAATGCTTGCAAAGTTCACACTAAATTGGCAGGCAGGAACAACCCTTGATTCAATTTCTGAGCTAACTTTTACGAAGGAGCTGAGAAACCAATGGCTTTGGAGAGTCCAAACCTGAAAAAACAGAGAACAGAGTTTAGAAACTATGAAAAGAGACATGTTGAGCCTTTACTCTTCTAAGAGCATTATAATGGATACAAATTGGAGAAGAATTTTAAATTGTAAAACCCCTTTCCTTTAACATGCCAAATACCATTGCTTTGGATCTTCTGCTGTGAGACTTGGGGAAAATCAGGTAAAGAGCGGTGCGGGTTTCAGCCAGGATAGGGTTCTTTTTCTTCACAGGGGCTGGTATGCGCATGTTTTCGATTTAGAAGAAAAAGAATGCTGATAACACATGGACATTTCACTTGTTGCAGAGCAGTGGTTACACAGAGCCAAGGACTTGTCAGCTTCTCATTCTGTTCTGCGTGCAAGGAGGCTGAGGGTGCACCAGGAGATCGGAGTTACAGAATCTGGACAAGTGACCCAGACTGGCCCAAGGGATGTCCCACAGCATGTGTGTGGTGTCATGCTGAGCAATAGAGCTCCGGCGGGGCTGGGTGGTCATTGCTCAGGGTGGTGGCTGAGCATCAGTCAGCAAGTGGTGAGCAACTGCATTATGCACCACTTGCTTTGTACATTCTCTTATCATTTGTATTATTTCCCTTCCTTTTCTGTCTTGTTAAACTACTTAAACTACTTCTGTCTTATTAAACTTATTAAACTCTACCCGTGAGTTTTTACTTTAAAAAGAAAGAAAGAAAGAAAGAAAGAAAGAAAGAAAGAAAGAAAGAAAGAAAGAAAGAAAGAAAGAAAGAAAGAAGAAAGAAAGAAAGAAAGAAAGAAGGAAAGAAGGAAAGAAGGAAAGAAGGAAAGAAGGAAAGAAGGAAAGAAAGAAGGAAAGAAAGAAGGAAAGAAAGAAAGAAAGAAAGAAAGAAAGAAAGAAAGAAAGAAAGAAGAAAGAAAGAAAGAAGAAAGAAAGAAAGAAGAAAGAAAGAAAGAAAGAAAGAAAGAAAGAAAGAAAGAAAGAAAGAAAGAAAGAAAGAAAGAAAGAAAGAAAGAAAGAAAGAAAGAAAGAAAGAAAGAAAGAAAGAAAAAAGCAGCTGCCTGCTGGGTTAAACCACCACAAAGCTGTGTATGAATACTTATAAAAAAATATTGTTTTGTTTACTGTTTTTTCTCAGAAGTTTCTCATCACTTTGTTGGACACGATGTGTATCCTGATGCAAAGATTACATCCAAAAACCATCTCAAAATATTTAGTTTTAAAGTGGAAGCAGTAATAATCCCATTTCAATATTTTTAACTTACTTTAAGATAGGTCATGGCCTGATATCTGCTGAAAATTTCAGCCTGGCAAAAACAGCTTCTTCCTGTGATGCTGCTGGAATTTCCATTATATTCAGCCTTCAGTTACCAGCTATGAATTAACCAGCTCCAGCCTTCCTGTAGGTGCCGTGCAGTAGCTTGTTGGACAGAAGACTCCTTTTATAGGAAACCTCCAGCTGCTCATTACTGCTTGAATATAGCCTAAGTTCTGTGGAAATCTATATACTAATTACAGGTGAATGCATTAAATATGTTTTTTTGTTTGTTTGTTTCTCGATTAAATGTATTATTTGTGCTTTAAATTATTTCCTTCCAGAAATGGGAAGCAGAACCTACTTAAACGATGTGCCAGAATACAGATGATTTTTTCAAAGTGCAGATAAGCAGCCAAGCTGTAAGGACCTTCACCATTCTCCTTTGTAATGTAGCAAGTGGACTTACTGCATCTAATATGCTTCCTGCAGTGAGCAGCAGTCTGACTCATCTCCTCCCTGTCACCATCCAGAGGATCCAGTGGACCTGTTCCAGGTGTTGCCATAGGACTCAAGTCCCTCAAGTCCATATAATGAAGGACTCTTTTCAGTGTTCTGCTTGCCAGAGACACACTAATTGATTTCCATTTGGACTCAGCTGCCTAAAAGCCATAAAAATAAATAAATAAGTTTTCCCTTTTTTGTCTTGGGCTGTAGAGAGTTAAAAGCAACTGGCTGAGCATATATAACCAAAAGGAAATCCCTGTGTGTAGGAAACCAGAAAATGCTGAGCTAGAACTTACACAATGTGTTAATATTAAGATAGCTTTGGAAGACTGTCCAGTCTTGACTGGTGTGCACTTAACCTGCAAGATGAGTGGGGATGTTTCAAGATATAACACTTCATTCACTTCTTATCCACGGATTTTGACCAGGGAATAATAGGTTTAACAGGAGATATAACTGGCTCACAAACACAGCTGAAAATCTTTGTGGGTCTGAAAGAAAGCATTGGACTGGGGCACTGCTATACTCCTGCATATGTACTATGGTGAAACTGAAACAGCTTTTCTTCTGCCCTTCAGTGCAAAACCACTTTGGTATGCCAAATATCATACAATATACTCAGTACACATTGACAAAGGCAATTTGCACTAGGCATGTGCATGTACACTTTGACTGATATTCTGTATTTTTTTATTATTATTCTGTATTTGGAGCTGCTCAAACTGCAGGGGGGCAACAGGCAGAAATACTTTTGTTGTGTACATAACTCAGAAAGCAAGATGCTTGGTTTTTAAGTCTGTTTTTAAGGACTACATAAAACAATTTACCAAGAACTGGGATGATGTTGCCAAGTTCAAGGCTTTTCCTATCAATTATTTCATGTGTAAAATGGGTATTTAAAAATAAAAATAAAAATAAAAATGAAGACCTGATGTTTTTTATCATGCTCCCTAACTTCTTCCCTACAGAGCAAATGAATTAGTTAATCCTCTGATGTTGCCTTAGCATGGAAGCTGGAAAATTGAAAACGAAAGAGCTGTTTTCAGAGAACTGCAAGTCATTTACTGTTTAATTTTCATTTTATTTTTTAAAATGAACGTGTGTAACAGCTGAGATTTGCATTTCTCAGTATGCTTAACAGTCAAGGATAATAATTATCTGAACTCTCTGCTGGCTAGCTTTGTACATATTCTGACATACCTAAATTACTGAGGTAGATGCTTTTCTTTTTGATTCAGTTGGGGGAAAATCACTAAGGCAATATGAGTTCTGTATGGAAAGCTTTGCCAGAATTCCCTTCATAAGCATGGAGTTAGAAGACTCCATGGGAAATCAAAAAAATGCTAATCCACACTTTGACCTTTTCAGCTGTTCATTGGACCACCTTAGCAAAAACAACTGTTGCCCCTATGGAGGATCAGGTGACACTATGTCTGGAATTTTTTTTGGATCAGCTTTTTGTTTCTGTTTAACTTACCTCTCAATTGTATAGCTATTAGAGTTCTATGCTGATTCTAACAGAATTTTATGTCTGGGGACCTGTAACTGTATATAAGCATATAAAATGCATATGAACATTGTAAGTTACAGTAGCAATCGCCAGTTTTTTCAGCTTGTGCAGTTCTGTTTTGCAATTGACTAGCAGCTCTGACTTTGTGCATATAAAAATATATGTAGCAGATCAGTTTCAGTGTTTTGAAACCCATGCTGTTGTCCTTACTTCTTAGTGCATGCTAATCACAAGACAAAATGTTTCTTTGCTAATGATGAAGACGAAATTTTGAGCTGTACACACAGCTTTTGCTTACACTCCAAGTTATCCTCAGCTAACTTGCACTCCAACTTGCACTCCAAGTTAGCCTCAGCATCTCTGAGATTAACATCTTCGCAATGCTCATGTCAGTTAGAATGCATTTTCATAACTGTTAGTCTTTAATCTTCCCTTCATGACTTTGTCTTTAAACACCTGCATATGTACATACACATCTGTAGGGCATCGATTACTATCAGTTAAGTACTGTGAAGTATTTATTCCTTAATTTGATATTCATCATCTAATATGCATGCTGATACAAAATACACTTCTAAATCATACACAGTGTAAATTTGGATATTATCAATTTATATTTTATGTTTTAAATAAATTCTTCCACTGGGGGTTCAACTATTGTAAGCTCCAGTTTAACAAAACAGTTCAATTAAAACATTTTCAAGAAGTTTAAAACAAACAAACAAAAAGGATCATTTTCCTGTACTCTCTGTTTTTCACTTTTCATACCCTGCATTTCCTAATTCCAGCTGGGAAAAAAAAGTGCTGTGTTGCAGTTTTCTACGCAGTGGTTTTCTTTTGCCAAATTAAAAGCAGGAAGTACCATAAAGTTCACAGAAGATCATATTCTTGTGAGATTTTTGTCCAACTTTACAGACCAATAGATTCAGATAAGATTTAACTAAGCATTTACATTATTAAATTGCTGTAGTATTGCCTGGAAAACTTACATTACAGACATTTTATGGTAAATGAGATTAATGCTTCTTGCATGTGTGGACATTTTATGGTAAATGAGATTAATGCTTCTTATATGTAATTTAGGGATTTTTTTGAGGTAATTAAGGTGGTAACATAGTTCATTTGGTTCATTTAACAGTTTCTTTCCACAAAAATAATTTACACAATTCCTATAAACTATATTAAACCTATCAAATTTGTTTATGTTGCTGTTCTCCTGAAGTATCACAGGTGAACTTGCATGGGGTAGCAGAGTTCTTTATATTTTTGTTACTAAAGCCAGCAAGATAAGGTCTCAGTCTGTAACGCCGTTCTTCCATATACACAGATTTTGGTGTTCATCATACACCTTGGCTGATTTGATCGAGCTCAGTAACCACACAGAAAGCCATCCCTCCTCTGCCAAGACGGCAATTTGAACTGCTGTAGTGAGCTCATGTGATGAGGTTTTGGTAGTGGGGTGCCACAGGAGTGGCTTCTGTGAGAAGAATCCAGAAGCTGCCCCATGTTAGATAAGGGCCCTGCTGCTGGCCTGAGCCAGACATTGCTCACACCTCTGCGAGAACATATTTAAGAAAGGGGGGAAAAAATGCTGCTGAACAGCAGCTGGGAGAGAGAAAGTGGTGAGAAACAGCCTTGCAGATACCAAGGTCAGTGAAGAAGGAGGGCAGGAGGTACTCCAGGCACCAGAGCATAAGTTCCCCTGCAGCCTGTGGAGAGGAGCCCATGCAGGAGCCGGAGTCTGGGGGGAGCTGCCACCTATGGGGCACGCGTGTTGGAGCAGTTTGCTCCTGATGGATGGACCCTGTGGTACAGAGCCATGTTGGAGCAGATCTTGAAGAGCTTCTGCCTGTGGGAAACCCCCGCAGGATCAGTTGGGGAAGGACGGCATCTCATGAGAGGGACCCCACGTGGAGCAGGGGCAGAGAGTGACCGTGAAGGAGTGGCAGAGACGAAGTGTTAGGGACTGACCACAGCCCCCATTCCCCATTCCCCTGTGCCACCCAAGAGGGCAGGAGGTGGAAGAGGGTGGATGGGGGAAAAAGTGTTTTTGGTTTCTTTCCTTTGTTTCTTACTTCTCTAGCCTTTTACTAATAGGCAATAAATTTTATTACCTCCCAACTCAGAGAGTTGTTCAGATCCAATACAGGGATCTTTCATGACACGGTTACAGCTCTTCAAACTCTTTCAGAACACCGCTGGGTCTTCCAGAGCTCATCATTTACACCCCCAGAGCATGCAGACACCTCCCTGGCAGAGGGACCACGAACTACACTTCCCATGAGGCGCTATGCGGGGAGCGCTCATGCGCTCCCGTACGGCGGGGAGGGGACATTTTGTGCCCGTGCCCAGGCCGCTGCCCGTGAGGTGCGGCGGGCGGGGGCTGCCCGGTGCTCGCCGCCCCTCGGGGATGGACGCGGACGGGCTGCCCATCGTGGGCTCCGGCATCGACCTCACCAAGGTACGGGCTGCGCCTCGCCCGGCGCTCGGCTGCTGGGCGGGCCCCGTCCCGTCTCCCCTCCCCTCCCCTCTCCTGCCCCGCGGTGGCCCCGGTTCGGAGGCCGTCCCCTCAGGCTCCGGCCGGGCTCTGGCCGAAGCGCAGCGGAGGCTGCTGTGCAGGGGCACGGGGCGAGGGCTGAGGTGGGGGTGAGGCCGAGGAAGAGGTCAAAACCCGGCGGGCCTGCGCTGGGTCAAAACCCGGCCGGCTTCCAGAGAGACCTCGGTGCAGCGCCGCGCTCTGCTCTGGGGCCCCTTCTGTGCGGGTGCCCTACCCCAGCCTCCTGTAGGTGGGTTAAGTACAGGTGCGAGCTGGCCACCGTAACAAGCACCCACTGCCCTTCTTCACAAACGCGACCTTCTGCTTTTTAGCTTGGAAGTACGCCTGCGTCAGATCCGAGTTTGGAGGAGTGACTGAAGTTTAATGTTAGGGTTATCCCTGCTTGAAAACAAAATATACAGTCCCTAATGTGTGTGTGTATATATATATATATACACATATATATATGTACATATATATATATCCCCTATATATAGTCCCTAAACACTGAGCCAGAGATTCTACTACTAGTGATTTTGGGGTTTGATGTTCTCAGCTGTAACTTGAGTGGATGACCCAAGTTTTAATTTCCTTAAGCTTCAGAAGGAATGACTTTTGCCCTCTTTTTTAAAAAAAAAATATATATATTTATTTATTTATTTATTTTAATGCTAATTTTCAGGATAGTTCATCATTTCATCCAGAAGTATTTTCTTAAATAAGATTACATTCATTTATTCAGTAGATGTTGTTCTTTTTTCTAGGTATCCCTCAGCGTTTCAAGTGTACGCTTCGTAGATTATTAGTGGAAAAGGATTTCTCTCTCTATATATACATACACAAACAGAAAGTATATATTATGTACTTATGCATTCATATCAAGCACACTTAAGGCTGATTTTTATATATATATTTTTTTTTCCTAGAATATTTGCATTTCTAACAGGTGTTTCAGTCCAAATCTGAGAACTTACATGTAAACTCGTTTTCTTATATTGTTTAATGCAGGTTCCTGCTATTCAGCAGAAAAGAACTGTAGCATTTCTAAACCAGTTTGTGGTTCACACGGTGCAATTTCTGAACCGCTTTTCTACTGTTTGTGAAGAGGTATGTTTGTTATTTTCCATCCTTTAGCTTATATGGTGAAAATAAATCCTAGCAGTAAGAACCATTCACTTTGGTATTTTTGCTGCATTAAAGGTTGTAGCTTTAGAATTTAGTCTGCTTCCTGTTCGAGGTTCATCCTGACTAAGTTGTTACGACAGATTTTTGCACCAGCGTGTATCCACATGACCTGCTATATCACACTTAACCCAGTGTCCTTGAACTTTTGCATTTGGCATAGTCTTTGAACTTTGATATATGAAGACTTTTTTTTGGAGTTGTTCAATCTGTGAATATGTTGTTCTTGTTCTGGAAAGAGGCTGCTGTATTCCTATGGCGCTGAAACCATGTGACAGTCAGTATCTCTCTCAACTGTGTTCTAGAATACTGCATCAGAACTTGCTTTCAGAGTTTTTCCACCTTTACTTTAAAAGAATGGAATGCTAAACTCTGAAAGTAAATAATTTTATGTGAAAAGAGACATTTTTGTCAAGTAATTAGTATGGAACATGATGCAGTTGATTTTAGTGTTTTGGGGGAATAGAGAAAAAAATACTTATTAGAAATTTTTAGTAAGCTTTTATGCTAAATTTAATGTCAATGGAAATATATCAGACTGACAGGACTAGTATCCACCACAGAATAGAAGAGTGCTCCTTGGCATGTATAAAGGGTGTTTTCTAATGTGACTTGAAGCTTAACATTTTTGTCATTAGCATTTTTTGTAACTGTTCACTAGTTTACTTAAGAAGGCTACTATACAGCCCTAGCCAGCACCAGTTGTCAAACCTAATTACAATAAGCCAAGTAATCTGAGAAATTCCGTTATTTGTTAGTAAAGTTTAGATCCGGACCTGTAACAAGTATAAAGTTGGGCTACCACGTCAACATATGGAGCCTCAGAGGGAAAAAAAAAATCTGGATTTTTTTAACCTATTTTATCTTTATATGTGGGACAGTGTAACTGCCTTGTGATGCTGTCAGTCATCTAAAAGTAAACCGTTGTGTGATCTCAGTGTTACCTGTTACACAGACACTATAGAAATCAAAGCACAGGTGTATATAAAGCCGCTTTCAGCAGAGAGCAAGGCTGTGATGTCTAGTTAATAAAACAGTTACCCGTTAACCTAAATATGTTGTTAAGCAAGAGACTAAATAGTTACTTTATAAACTCCTTGAAAAACTTTTTTTTTTTTTTTTTGTATTTTTGAAGTACAGAAGTGTTTTCATATGAAAGGTCCCAGTGCAAAGCAACAGAAGTCAGGAAATTTAAGGCTGACACCATCCTCACCTCTAAGTTTCTTGGTTCTTGTTTAGTCAAACTGACCTGTAAAGTTATATAACTGACTTTTGTGCATGTTTCCTCCCCATTCCCCGCTAGTTGCAGACCATATAGTTCCTGTCAAAAGGATTATACTCCTCTTCATGAACAAAGAGCCATCTGTAAACAAGTCAGTGCACTATCCAAAAAGACTAGCTCTTGTCAGTCTCTTCTTACTTTTTCTAGCATATTGGCAGAACTGCCATTTTCTTAGGGTGTTAAAGTTCTGCCTAAGAGCCAGGCAGAATCTTGCCAATGTGCCAGAAAGCTGTCAAAATGGTACATATCTGCCAGCCTGCATGCTAGCCAGATTCACTTGGACAGGTCTGTTGGAGTATGGTAATGATTAGCTAAAAGAGTGACAGTTCTCATAGAGTTATTTAGAAAAACTTACGTTGCATTTAAAAGAAAAAAAAAAGTGTCAAAATTTGATTAAAGTACACCTGCAGCAATATAAACCTTCTGGTTCACTATACTTTTTGATTATATAGGCCTTTAATTCACCTGATGTATTCTTTGTAAGATTTTTCTACTTTGTATGTGCTCAGTTACGTACGCACGCATTGCATCTTTTCTTCTTTAACATTTGGAAAAAGCTTTGAAGAAAGTTACTTTGGTTTACTGTGAGAGTACAGTATGTTTCCCATTATTCTCCAGTTGCCCAAAGTAATACCCTGTATATATTGGCTTTCTTTTGTACGTAGCTTGTCTTCCTTTTTGTCTGTCATTATTTGGGAATACTGTTTAATAAAAGTATTTGAAATTTGATCTACAGTAGCTGCTGTACTAAAAGAGATGGTGTTGCTTTGTTTAGTTCATAGCAGTGTTATCTCATTTATACTCTACTCTGCCTTCAGCAGGTTGAAACCAAAAGTGGTTTTGTTTAGCTGAATGTGAACAGTTGCATATATACAAGTGGCCTAGGAGAGTGTTTTCACATCCTACTTGTTTTCTGTCCTAGAAATTGTCAGCACTCTCTCTCCGTATCCAACAAATAGAAACAACCCTCAATATACTGGATGCCAAGGTTTGTATGCATTCATTTGACTTTTAACAATGACAGATTCCCAGATCATATAAACTAGCTTCCTTTTCATAGTTTGAATTGAGCAAATAAGTTTTTTATGATGATTTGAAGCAGCTAACAGAAAATGCTTACCAGGCAAACTATCTTTTTGCATGCCTTCCATTGATATTGTGTAATGCTTGAACGTGTAGTGGATATGGAAGAAAGGAGCAGACAGCATATAGTGGAAATGTTGTTTTTGTCCCTGTTATGTGTACAGGACTGGAAAGGAACATATGGATCATGAAAGGGCAGCTGAACTAAATGACAGCTTCCTTGTGTTGACTTTATTGCAAAATTTGGTTTTAAGAAAGTGGAGGGAATTTTTCCTATATTAAAATAAGCAAATTATATTGCAAAAGCTATAGTATGAAAATGCATTTGCCATACAATCAATAATAAGTTCTTGACTCCTTTTTAAAGCAAAAGCATCTTTGTAAGTGGTGCTGGATTGTAAAGATTTCAGCTGGAAGGAGTAACCAGATGGATCCCTTGTAAAGCTTTTGGTATTGAAATGTGACCTCAGAAAGCTTTAAACTAACTCAAATGTGTCTGATGTATGTTCTTCAGCTAAAGTAATAAAGGGAGGTAACCTACAGATATGTATTATTATTTAATCTGTTAAAAGAAAAAAAAATATAAAATTTTAATCAGTCCTCTCATTAATGATAGAAAAGACAACAGAAATTGCTCCTGGGAGCAGGTACAGAACATTTTGAAACCCTTCATTAAGATCTTTGTGGAAAAAAAACACTGCAGTAATACAAACAGCAACTATTAACTTTCATTTGTTCCAAAATACTGAGGAATGACCAGTATTGATCATTTTGCATAATCGTGTTAAATTGAATTTCCTTCAGATAGATATCTGGCTTGTATGTAATATCTGATCTCAGCATTTCTTAAAAAAAAAAAAAAAAAAGACACACCAAAAATTACAAAATCTGTAACCAGACACTCCATCTGTTGTTAGGTAACAGTCATTCTGCTCATGATTTCTTTCACTGTGGAACAAGTAGCAGAGAAGATGGCCCAGTTTTTTGCATGGTTGATACATGCAGTAGCAAAATCCTGGGAAGCTGTTGAAGCCTTTCCTGCGCTGCAGCCCTGTGTTAATAAGAAGCTTCAATGGAGTGTTTTGGGTTTTTTGTTGTAGAAGCCACCTGAATAGGAATTTATTTATTTATTTATTTATTTTAATCAAAATACAAAAGCTAGTGATAAAAAGTTACAGTTTCACCAATTTGAAACTTAGCTGTGGGAATGTGTTGTAAGCAGAATACTGCAGACTTTCTTGTATGTGTAGACTTAGAATATGCTCGTTGCTTATTTGATCATGTTTTGTATGCTCAGTTATCTTCTATTCCTGGCCTAGAAGATGTCAAATTTGAAGTGTCCAGTGCAAATGTGAATAGTGTTACAAATGGTCCTGCGGCATCTACTACAGATCAACAGGCAGCTGTCTCACCTCAATGTGGTGTAAGTAGTGAAAATAACTAATGTACTGAAGGAATATACTTCTTAATATACTTCTCCATATCAAGTTTCTAATCTCATCCAAAATAGATGGAAGAAGCAAGTCTACTTAAAGAAGACAGTCAAGCCAACTGTAAAGATCTAAAAATACATTTTCATTAATGAAACTTTAAGTGAGTGGCTTTTAAAACAAAAAAGGGATATATCCTTTCTTAAAAAATTGGCTTAAATCATTAGAACTAACTGAAATCTAATAGTAAATGCTGTCTTCCTCTTTGTTCAATCACACTAAAATATGAACATAAATTACACCAGGCTATTGTGAAGGTCATGAATGAAAAATAGCAGTTCAAATCACATAATTCCAGTTATTTTCTGCTTTTAGAATGAGCTTTCAGCTCAAATTGAAGTTTTTAGCAGACTTTATTTTAAAGAGGTTATTACAGTGAATGTTTTATATGTGTAATCATTTATGTACAGAAAATGCCAGCTTATTATAAGTGATCGATATTAAGATGTTTTGTGCTTTCACCTGCTATAGTATTTGGGAATCTTCAATTCTAATCTCCACTCTGTCTTATTTGGTGTGACTGTGAAGCAACAGTAGCTGGGAGTACTCTTCTTGCCTTTCTTGCTTGTTAAACATCGTATCTCTAGACTAATTGCTCCTAGCAACACAGAAGTCAGAATGGAGAGCAGGCATTACAGGTTTCACTCCTATTAGGAAATAACTTGGATTTATTTTGTTCTCTTCAAAGTTTCTCAGATATTAGGGTAGGGACAAATACTCCTGAAAAGGTTTCCAATTCTATTTTCAAGTCATTAGGTTAATAGCAAATACACGTTTTTCTGTTGTCATTTACACAGTACTGCAGCTCCTCGTCATTTTTATTTTTTTTTTTAATTAATTGCTTTCAAAGATTCTTTTATTTCATTATGTCATCCATTAATGGTTTGTACTAAAAATTACAATTTAAAAGTTACTTGTTCTGTATGAAGTTGAATAGTTTGCAGAGGAAATACGTTGGACCTGCTGGAGATTATACATAATCTTTTAAAATTAAAATATATATATATATCCTATAAAGTAAGCATTTAAATTAGTTCCATTTTATTTATTGAATGCAATGAACTTAACAGCTTTTTTAGCCTACGAAGATGTCTTGTAGCATTGGCTAATCACTGCACATTTTATTGCTTGTCTTGATCAACTTGTTATAAATCAAGTCCAATGAGGAAAGTAACCCTAGTCTGTATTATTTTCCACTCCTCATTTTTATTTGACTACTCCAACTTCATAATTCATGGACCTGTATCTGCTATAACTCTTTTGACAATACTGCCTTTGAATTCAGTACTGATTTTTTTTTTTTCTCATGTATTGGGCAATAACTTTAAATTGTTGCTGAAAGTATTTAAATAGTCACACTTGTAACAGTCAATAACAAAAGAGCTGGGTTTTGTGTATTCATTCATACATCTCAGAAATCTGTAGTACTATGAGTATAGGTCAGAATATTCATGAGGTAAGAAAAGTTGCTTTTTACCCTTAAGTTACAAACCTTATGGATTGAAATCTCTCCTTACTTCTGGTCTGCATACCTAACCACTAAAGTGTTATCTTCTTTGTATACAGCAGAACAATGTACATGAAGAATCATTACAGAAAACAGAGGTAGTAACAGAAAATATCAAAACTGTGGCCAAGGACCCAAGATACGCCAGATATCTCAAAATGGTACAAGTGGTAAGTTAATTCTCTAATCATTCTTTGGGTACGCAGTTATTTTTAAGTGAAACTTCACACACAGCTCTAAGTGAACATTAACTACCAGAAGATCTATATTACATTAATAATCTTTAAGCTAGGATAATATTGACACATTTCTAGCACATCCTCTCTAAAGAATGACTTAATGTAGTGTATTCCTGCAGACAGCCTCTGGCAAGATCTTCCTACAAAATTCTGCCAAAGTAATTCTGAACTGAAGGTGTGAAGGTGTGTAAATGCAGAGTGAAGCTAGCTGGAGTTATAGAACATTTGATTGAAAGTGTAGTTACTCTGACAGAATTGGTGTCATTACATACACGCAGACGTGCTTACAGCTTGTTTTTGCTGTAGGGTACAAAACAAAACTTTGCTTGTATATTCCAGAGTGTTGGATGTTCCCATAGGGCTCAAAATAGAATGATAAAAATTGGTTAACTACTTGGTTCCACTTCAGCTCCCTGTTTTTCACAATACACATTTTGTTTCCCTCTTTATCTGTGGTCTTTTCTGTGGATCATTAGAAAATAAATGAGTAAAATCTCAATATTTACCTGCGTGAAAATGAATGAAGGGGAGTAAAGATTGCTGAGAGACTCTTGGTGACATTCCATAGTTTTTGTGGGCGTGAAAAAAAGAGCTGAAAAAACATGAGATTGGAAACAAAGAAAAAAAAATCTGTGTTTTCCAGCAATCACTGGAAAATTTCCCCTAAAATATATATAATTCTGGAAAATATTGCTAACTTGTAGTATTAGTAAAGTGTTGCTTATGTTAGAACTAACTGCATGATTTCATTCTCTCTTCAGAGTAATTATTACGGTTGCTGTGCTTAGTACTTTGAATGATGTTCCAGACCTTATTTTTCATTTGAATCACAAGTTCGCAGTTTATGGGTAGCTTATTACAAACCATTTGGAAAACCTAGTAGTGCAGTAGTGGCAGAGGGCTGAACACTTTGTTAGTGTATTGGTTTAATTCCAGATCTCAAAGTGGATGCAAAAGTGCTGGATGGTCTAATTACTTTGACTCTTTTTTTTTTTTTTTTTTGGTGGCTGCTCGAGGAGTGAGATCTCACTTTCCACATTTATCCTTTGTGCTGGCAGTTCCTGGTGACTCCTCTGCCAGTTGTAAACAGTGTGGTAGGAAAGTCAAACTACCATACTACAAATTAATGTGTGGTTTTTTATTTGCCAACTTGGTCTTCTCACCCAGTTCAGTTAATGTCATTTATTTGCCGGAATTAAGTTTCTAGCTGAAAATTTGTTTGATCTAATCGTTTATTTATGTCCCACTATATTTTTAGTGTTGAATTAACACCGCAAAGGGAGATTTCTTTTGTGCTGAGGATAGCTGTTCTGGGGGACAGTAACAAACTCATTTTGATGGAGTGCAGTTTACCATAATAAATTGTTTTTTTAAAGATGTACAGCAATAGTATTTGAGCAAACCTTACAAAAGCTCTATCATATTTGCTGCAATAAATATTCACAACTTTTGTTTTGACAGTGAGAGGAGCAGTCTAGGATGTCAGATAAGTTGTGTATTAAAGTACAAACATTTTTACTGGATTCTAAACATGACTACATAGAGGCAAATATTGGCCTAATATAGATTGATCCTTGCTTTAAAGAACTGAAATAAAACCAAACTTGGTTGCATCACTGATCTCAAGTTATTGCTAACATTAATGATACCTAACCTCTTTCTGCACGGTCTGGATAGCCAAAACTTGTTTTGCAACAGGACTGCTACTTGCACTGTGTCTTCTCCAGGACCTGCATACTTGCTGAGCTGCAGGACCAGCTTGGTAGGGCTGGGGTACAATATGTTGAATGCGTAGTGTTTTGGATTATATCAAATGTTAATTGGATGAAGGGGATGGGACTTTAGGTTTGGCTCTAATGTTAGAAAAGTACACCTATGCCATTGAGCTCCAGATACTTGCAGTTACGAAAACTGCAGTTCTTTTCAGGCTAGTCATAGTTTAGTTATTGGCAATATAGCTCTTCTGGCTACCAGCATGCATCACTTTTTAAGAAGCATGCAAGATTTTTGGTTCTGTCGTTATCTGTTGTAAATCTGCCTACAGCTATCTAAAGTATCAGTTTATTATATATTTTTCATCATACTTTTCAGAGGGCAGAAACCAGAAGTTCTAAGTCATTGCTATGAAAAGCAATGACTTAGGTTAGGAGAAGCCTAGCCATCTGAGTTACCCATCTGAGTTACAACCATGTTTGTATTAATTCTCTGTAGTAATGTAGATTTTATAATTGTTTTGAGGAATACAGAATTCTTGTTTATAAACACAAGATGCTTAAAAGATTTAGAAAAGAAAAAAAAAAAGATTTACGAGATGTTTAGGAAGCTAAGAAGGCTGTGAATTCCCACAAGAATTGTCTTTTAATATTAATGAGTTAGCATGTACTTGTATATGGATGATCACAATACTTAAGAATCTACAACAGTAAGGTTAGGCTAGTATTGCACAAAATTCCTCTATTTTATAATTAATAAAAAATCTATTTCCATTAAAGCTTCAGAGAATTTGTGTTCTACAAATTCTTTAAGTTTTGAGTCTGCAAGTATTGAAGAGCTTTCTCAAATAGATATGATCTTAAAGGCCTTTCACAGTAGCTATGAAACAAGCTCATTAATTTATAAATCTAGTGTGTTTAGCATATTGCCATATATATTTTTTTTAAAGTATAACAGATAATAGACCCTGTGTTAAAGTGATTCTTACATATTTTGATGCCTACAATTTTGGAATAAGACTTTTGTCCAAATGAGAATATGATCACATAACGGTTTTCAGTCCATTGTTAGAAGTTCATATACTAAGCTCCCCTTCCCTGACAGCAAATATGAGTATCTTGTTTTCACTTGGTTTGAACCGATGCATAAACACTTCATCAGTGGCATCTGAGCTCAGCTTGTTTAATATGCTTGGCTGGGGTAAAGAACTCATCCTAACCTGGGGAAAAACATTTGATAATACAGGATTGTGTGGGGTCCAAATCTCTGCTAGAGTAAACGAATATTTTAAGCAGTCATGAAATATTCAACTGCTTTCACCATTGTAATGTGCATTAGTTGCAACTTACTGAGAAATTCCATATTATAAGAATACCTCACAACTGTTTGAGTCAGATTTTTGCCTATATTCCCTATAGATTGCTAACTATATCTGTCTGTGCACTATTCCAAAATCTTCACACAAAAATGTTGGGATTCTTAATGTAAAACTGCACACGGAAGACACACTGAACCAACTAGCTTAGCTCTCACTTTGCCAGGTTAGCTACTGCAACTGTCACTTGTACCACAGTTCTCTGGAACATTAGTCATGGCTGCTCATTATTTTATCACTTTTTATTTATTTTGGACAGAAATTGTTTGTCCTCTACCAAAAGAATCCTGCAGTACCATTCATTTAGGTTTTGAGGCATCTCCTGTCTTTCCTAGACAACCAGGAGCTTTGTCCATTGGAGCTCAGAAATTTAATCCTCTAACCCCCCCTCTCCTGCCCTCTTTGCACACCATATGCCAGCTGGTGTTTCAGATCATCTGCTACAGGGGATGGCGAAGCAACAAGTTGTCTTTGAGCAACTCCAGTGGAAACACAGGAACAGTTTTATTGGAATGTACCTTGTAAGATGACGTGGATAGACATGTTCTTCAGTATCCGATCCAAGATGAGATGTTTAGGTGTTGCTGACTAAAATAAAGTGCAGAAGCTGTGGAAGGGCTTGCAGTGAATGATTTATTTATTTTTTTAACACATTCATAGCTGACTAAAATCTGTCCACAAGTCATCGAAGATTCAACACGGACTGTACAATTACTTGTATTCAGAGGAGTCCCTTTTAAATTGTGCTGTTATTCCAATGTCCTGTTTGTCTTTTTCCTGCATGCTTTATAAAGACTTTCCCAATTTTTAGCATTGCCGTAGGGTATCCTTTCAGAGCTATAGCAGATGTATTTTTCTTGCCTTTTTTTCCACTTCATCTATACGTTCTGTGTGTGTTGAGTCCTCTTCATCTTTCCAGCACAGCTATTCTTTGCTGTCTTTGTGCTACTTTGTGCTTTTTTCACATTCTCATCCATAGACTTAGCTTCATCTCACTATTCTTGTTTGCATGAATTGCAAATATATCTGTCTATTGCTAACCCCACCCCCCGACTTTGTTGAGGCATTTTACCATGAATATGAGAATTAGAAGTGTTTTATCTCTGTTATTACTCACTTCTAGGTTCTTACTGATGGCAAATGATACTATCATTCCATGCTCTTGTTCAATGAGCGACGTGAAAGTGTGTCTGAAAGAATCTGTGGAATTTAGTTCACCTATTTGTTTCCAGTACTCTTATATTGTTCTTCCTACACAGGGTGTTCCTGTAATGGCAATACGAAACAAAATGATTTCTGAGGGGCTAAATCCAGATCTTCTTGAGTAAGTAATATTTCAAATTTGTAACTTTGAGTAGGGAGGGAAATTCAACCATTTGTATAATAAGAGGGTCTGAGGAGGGCCATCAGTATCTAGGAGGGGGGCAATCTCAAGTGTGAGCTGTCTTTTCAGTATTGTCTAATCCAAGGTAAGGCCCAGGAAATGCAGAGCTTGAAATGTCAGATACTGCACCCTTCCAGATAGAAAGCTGCAGGACTTTACCAGTCCAACTAGAGAGGGGTATGAAGGACTTCTTCCAAGCCTAGCACAGGTTCAAGGAACCAAATATAGCAATGACAAGGCAGTATTTGACAATATGCATCTACCAACGGGGAATCAAATAACATGTCAGTAGCCATTTTGACTTTGCTGCATTGAGTATGAGTTTTTTCCCATAAACTTTCTTCCACCACTTTGGTAACCAAATGTCATTATTGTAGTGTAATAAGAACAAGCTTTATTTTATTTATGTGTGAGGGACAACACACTTGTTTCCAGATTCCCTTGCTCTAGATAAAATGTACAGGTTGAATTCAGTGTGGACCGGGTAAGTTGAAGTCAACAGTTCACTGTTGTGACTGTTGATTAAACCTGATGTGAAGGCTACTAAGATTAGATACTCATTTTCAATGCTACTTTTGTATCCTCTGCAGAAATTGTCACTGTATTAGTTTTCTTCTCTTTTCCAGTGAAGCCTTCTTAACTTCTGGAAAGGTTTATTCTGAAACTAGCAATTAGTATAATAAAATAATGAAAATACAGTAAACCAGGAGTGTTGTCATATGTTGAGTCACTTTATCTCCTAGCTGCTTCCCAGTGTCTTAGTAAGCCTAAAGTAGTTATTCCTCATTTGATAACATAGCTGATCAAATGAAAAATTAGACAAAGAACTTAAATAAGCATCTGCGCAAGTCTGAGACAGAATTATCAAATGGGTTTTCTATGTGCGTTAAATTTATTTTCTCATTCTGCATTCGTGGTCCATACCTTTATGTAAATGCTGCTATTTTTTTCATGTTTGGGTGGATTTTGATAGATTGAATAATAATAATAATCAGCTAAAATTTCAAGTGTTTGCTTAAAAAAAAGTGCTTTCAAATTGTCTGGTTTGGGTTAAGACAGAGCTGAGACAGAAACATTATTGTGAATTGAGGCTCATGAAATAGGTATGGGGTTTGGTCTCAGTCCATCTTCAAGGATTCTGTGAAACGCTGAAGTTCAGGCAGGTTGTCTTTAAATTGTTACTGATTTGGAAACATTACAGCTAATCTACCTTATTAAAGAAAGCTAATTATTTTGGCAAGGTGCCTCTTTGAAGAACCAGCATTGTTCACATTATTTCATTTTAGTACATCTTAAGAAATCATAGGGAACCTTTCTTTTCATCTTCTTGCTTTCTTCTCTTGATATCATAGTGTTTGTTTGTTGTGGTTTTTTTTAATGTCCTACCATTCACACCACATTTCTTGCGTCTTCAGGCTGTTTAGGCCTGTTCGCTCAGTCCCAATGAAAATTAGGAAAATTAACATATTGCTATATGCTCAGTCGCTTACTACAGCCTCTCCCAGCTACTTGTTGGTGACTGAGTGTGGTTTTTCTGTGGCTGCAGAAAAGCTAACTACTAATAGATTTGTTTTTAATCTCTCCCTTTGGCTGTTTTACCTCTAATTCTGTTGTCACTCCTTTCCTGACTTTTTACAAATGCTTTTTCTTTTTTTTATTTTTTTTAAAATAGCCTATTCTGTTAAGCTCCCAGTTCATCTGTGTATCTATGTTTAACTTTTCTTTCTTATCCTCTCTCTCTTGCTGGTCCACAATTCCAGGAGATTTTGTCCTGCCCACCCGAAGTAAAGGAATTCACTGCCATCTTCGTCTCCTTTACTAGAGGAGAGGTTTTTTTGCTGCTCTCTCCAGATCACATGTCTTTGCACAACTCTTCTGTTTTGTCATTACCGTGGCAACAAGAAATAATATTGTGAAGTGGTATTTGCATGAGAGAGCAAACCCTTTCTTAATTTATTTTGGAGGTGTGCAGGGGGCAGGGAGAAGGCTCTCTTACAGTTCTTTAATGCCCTTCTCACTTTTGTACCAGAATGCTTATAAACACTTTAAATGTACCTTTGGGATTTCCAGCAGAGAAATTAAAATAAACAACTAAACTTGGATAAGAAATTCTCTGGCATGACACAGAGAGGTAACCCAAAGATAAATAACAGGACAAACAATATAATTATCAGATTAGTTTAAATTTTATGTTTAATCAAAAGGAGCAGTTAACTATTATACAAGAGGCATCTGTGAAGATTGTTCTTTCCGTTCCCGAAATATAATTGTATGTATACTCTATACCCTGGTTTCAGAATTTACTAGGCTCAATCTTGCTTGTATTGTTAAATTCATTACATAGAAGGGAGACGACAAGGAAAGCCAGCATCTAGAATCAGTAGTGTTAGATATTCTTTAGATGGTTTACTTCCCTATCCTTCATTCCCACTAGATTCCCTGAGCAAATGTTTTGACACAATATTAAGATCCATCTTAAATATTCTCATCAAAACTAAATACCAGAGGTCTGATCATTTATAGTCAATAAAAATCCCATGGCTGCTCTTGCATGTCAAATTTAACCCAGTGTTCTCGCCAAATTCCACTCTGAGTAATTCTTTTTTGCTTCTCTAAATTATCCCTGCAGTTTTAGTTGGATACAATATTGTTCATTTCCTGTCTTATTTTTTTCATGTACTATTTACACTGCTTAATGGTGTACAGCATGTTCCCTTCAGCCCTAGAACCTCTGAAGATTAAAAAAAAAAAATTAATCAGTATTGCTTGCTTTCAACTTTCTCTTCAAATGTTTGCTACTTCTTAGTGATCTATCATAATTTCCAATAACCTTAAAGGTGTGCATTCATACTGATGTCTGCAGAGTTTTGATGTCCAGTGAGTTACAGTTTCTAGTGTTTATCTTTCAGTTCTAGGTGAAGCAATACCAATGAGGTGTGCGTTTGTAAAGCACAACAGTTTATGTGTTAAATGTTGTGGATATAAAGTGCATACAGATGTAGTAAAAGGCACGTCCTACTGAGTTACTTGTGTTCTCAGCAACCTTCTAGGATTTACAACATACAACCTTTTTGTTGCCTGCAGGACTCCAGATGCCCCTGTGCCTGCTTGGGGAGATGATGGGAATGCAGAAGACAGTTCTGATAGTGAATCTTCCTTTAGTGACTAGAAAGACTGATTTCAGCCTTTGGAAACCTCTTTTAAGTGCTAATGTCTTTGGAGCTTTTGCAGATAATGATTTTGTGTGGGTCACATGCGTGACATGATTTATCTGACAGCTTTTCTTAGCATTGAGATTTCTCATGTTCTCTCCCCAAAAGTTTGAACAGGTGGCATGTTCAACCTGAACCTTTCCATTGTGAAAATTGATCACAATATCGTCGTGATTTTTATCCTTTGTTATTTCAGATTATTTCTGATTCTTCTGGAGTTATGTTATAAAACTCTTTAAAAAAAAAAAAATCCGTGCCTCTAAATCTTCAGGTCTCTAAGACTGCATTCTGGTCATTCTTGGATTTTCTGAGTAAGACTTTTAACCTAAGTTGCCTTCCTTCTGTCCCATAGCAATCAGGTAGAGTAACTTATCAAAATATAATTGCAAACTTATAAACTGTATTTTTTTTTCTAATATAGTATATTTTGAAGTGGCATAATAAGAATTACAGAAATCGGTTATCTTATGGTGTTTGCAAATCAGTGATACTGATATGCGTAAAAAATAAAGAACCGTCTTAATCTATTTTCAGAGTATATACTGCTCTTTGATTTCACATCAGAATCTGAACAACATTGTTAAATTTCTGCGCTGTAGTAGTTATTAATCAAATTCAGGTTACAGTGGTGTAGAAAGCTACGACTATTGCAAGATTGTTTTTGAAATTATAGTGTGAGAGAAGCAAGTGACTTGAGAGCTTATTAATGGAATACCAAATTCTTTCTTATTCAATGTCACATGGGTCAATAATTAAAAAATATATATATATGACAGCTGTTTGGCTTGTTGCAAACTGCACAGGCTCAGGTTATTTCCATAGGATAAGAAATCATCCCCAAGTCGTTGCCCTTGCTGATGGTTCCAGCAAAGAAGTCAAAATTCAGTTTACGTAATGATGAAACTACCTTGCTGCTTTTTGAGGATGCATTGGGGAACAATATGAAGAAATCGACTTGGAGCCTGACTTGCCCTAATGACTTCCCTCCAAAGTACATGATCTACTGCATGAGTCAAAAATGACATTTCATTAAAGAATCCTGTTTAATATAATTTGTTGCACATGAAACACTTCACAATCTATTTGAATTCCCCAATTTATTGTGATTATACCAGAATGCTGTGGGCCAGGCAGTCACGTAGTTTCTGGTATTTCAGTTTAATCCCGAGACTAAGAAAAGACTTAGAGCTGCATCTCGAAATGTATAAATTTGTTAGCTCTTACAGCTGAGTCATCATCTCCTCTCTTAGTTATTTGTCACCTCAATAGCTGCTTTTTTTTTTTTTTTCTGTAACTTAGGCATGGCTCCCATTTGAGTCTAGCAGACATATTCAAGCTCTTCACAACCTGTAAATCAGAGTACTATTTGAATCCCTAGGAGGATAGCATATATGCACTAGAAAATTATGAGTTAATTATTATTGAACACTTAAACACAAATATTCAATAGCTAACACTTGGCAAAACTTGACAAATCTTAACATATTAGCAATAAGGATTTCAAAAGTAAGTATTATCATGTTATTTCAAAAAACTTTTTGAAATCTATATTTGAAAATTTATTGAAATGATCTGTATAATAAAAGATATGTTTTGTAAAACAAAGTTGTGGTTCTATTTCACTCTATCATGATGTTTTAAACAAGATTGTGAAAATTATTCTGGATCCTCTGTAATTCATGTTTCTCTGTAACCAGCTATGCTAGCTGAAGGGGGATGTTTTCAGAATAGGAATTTGGAATTTAACCTAAGCCATGTTAGTACTTCGTCAAGAGAAATGAACATCCCATAGCTGCTATTCCAAAGAGATGATTTAAGGAAGACTGAAGTTAATGCAAATTGTATGTTTATACATGTTAAATTATGTAAGAAAGCAATATGAGAGTTAACCTGAGACATAGTAGGTTTTTTTGTTTGTTTGTTTGTTTTAAGAAAAAAAGAAAGGTTACCAAAACACATTTAAGGAGATATGGCTCCCATTGTTTATCATTTTAAATAAGCTTTTTGTGTAAAGTAATTTTAGTCTGAAGAAATCAGATGTGTTTTATGTGGGGTGAAAAAGGAAGCCTCTAGCCTACTGTCCCTTGTTATAATGAGGGATAATTAATTGGTAATTACCAATTTATATATATATTTATATATACTATTGTATATATACATGTACACATCAAAGAACAGTAAGCATGCTCAGTTTTGTTGCCCAAGATGTTTTTTGCAGGGTAGCTGTTTGATACGGAATCATGCAGTCTTGGTAGGCTTGCAGAAACCTAAAGAAAAATCTTGCCACTTTGTCTCCTCTTCCACTTAAGCAGTGGCACGCTACACAGTAAAAATCTGAGTGTTTGAAACGTGGTGAATGAGGGAGGAAAAAAAAAGTCTTCCCTTTTACCTTGAGTGCATCAGCTAACCTATTTCCTCTACTGCTTTTGGACCCTCTGAACACAGTAAGCTCCACTGTTTCCACCAGCCTCATCTGCTAAACGCATCCCTGCATTGTAGGTTGTAGCCAAGTTCAGGCTGAGATGTTTCAGCTTGGGACACATGCTGACACAAGAATCTGTTAAGTATGGGAAGGTTGATTTGAGACTGAATTTTGTGAGCTGTGCTGGTCCTTGATCTACAGCAGTTTTCTAGTGAGCTGGTGCTAACCCAGAAATTCAGAAAGACCTTAACCACAAGCTAAATACTATAAGCAGAGAATATTCCAATTTGCTCATTATTTGCAATCTGTTTTGGAATAGAAGATGGATGGAGTATTTCAACTTGGCTGCATAGTGTTCAGATATGCTTAGTCTGTTCAAGGGAAGAAGTCCATTTTTAAGTGACTTTTATTTTTAGAAAGCTTCTAACAGCAATGAACTGTTAAAAATGCTGTGTACAATGAAATGGACCAGTCCTACGCACCTAGTATACCCCAAATTTACATGGATTTAAAATCATCATCCAGGACAATATTGCAATTTGTAGAGGCATGAGAACTACTTCAGCTCATTACTGGAATAACTACTGAATGCACCAGCTAGTACAAATTATGGACTATCAGTAAATCATGTACTCCATTTTTAAACAAGCTATTTTTACCCCATCACCATCTTTGTCATTTTGCAGGTGAACTGGAATGCAGAATATGTAAAGGTCAGTTTCTTAAAGATAATACAGGTATTTGAAATGCATTTGGGTGCCTGAGTGTATCACTAGATATGTATTTGTGCTGTACCTCAAACTACTGTCAAAGGCAAAAACAACATCTGGACATGATAACACTTTACACTGAGGTCCCAGTTTAGCACTTCTAATCATTACTCTATTTCCTCTTAGCTCTGCTGCTACATTTGGAAAAGAATATTGATGTCCTTTTTTCAGGCTGTGTCTCTTCATCTTTCTTGTTTTTCTTTCCAGTGCGTGTTGCTTACACCAGTGATTAAGTATATAGTTTGACGTTCTGTGAAAAAAAAGGCCATAAGAAGCTATGGGCTGTACTTGGAAAAAGGATATCACTAGGATCAGCACTTTGAGTTGCATGTGATCAGGTCAATTTTGCTTTCCATAATGGTATTTAGAAACAAACTGATCTTCATCACAGACTTTAGGGAATACTGCTTTATGCCTGAATAGCTGATACAAGGACACAGTGTTACGATGGACTTGTCTGCAAAACAAAACGTGTATTTTGTTGCTCCTCAAAAAATTTGGCAGCCTGTTCCCTGAGACAACTCCAAGTCAAATGCACGCACTTGTACCCTAGATATTTTACTCTTGATTCTTCTTGTGATGGTGCCTCCATTTGGACACTTCAGAGGCGAGATAGGAACCACCACACAGCTCAGGCCTGTGACTCACTTAGTCTTACAGTACGAATCAACACTGAGTACTTTAACAGGAGATATGAGAAGTACTGCGGTGCTCTGGTAGTCCCTGTTCTTGCCACAAAGATTTTACTCCAACTGTGAGTAGAGATTGATGTTAAGTGCTAAATTACAAGATTGCTTCCAAACTGTTTGCGTTAATTCTGGAAGCTGTGGAAATTCCTGTCTTGTGTTTGACTGTCTAACTTTGCTAATACAATGTTGTTTTAAACGAATCCCAAGGGCAATTTCATAGTGAACAAAATGAAGCAGAAAATTAAACTTAAATATCCCATGCCATAATGAAAATGAGTGACAGAAACAAGCTTAGCATAGGAAGTATCTCCACATACTCTCATTTTGAGGCAACTTGAGTTTAAACGGCCATAAATTCATAAATTAAAACACAGGTCATGGGGTAAGGACAGATATAGCATGACACTCTTATCCATCCTTGTTTGGTTTTTAGATATATTAGATAGATATAGATTAGATAGATATAGATATTTGTTTAAGTCAATATCTTGACCTCAAACAGATTATTTTCTCATTTCAGTGTTTCCCATTTCCATGTAAATGTGTAGAAAGGAAGCTGAACAAACATTCACTTTGCAGATGGATGATTTTATTTTTTTTTATTTTTTTTTTTGCATCAGACTAACTCGTACACTGTCCATAAAGGAATGAAATGGTAAATAATAGTATTCTCTGATTTAGGAAATAGAGTTTTTGCTAATCAAGCTCTTGTATGATCCAGTATATGAGCTTGTACTTGAAAGTTGGCTACTTTGGGGATATGCTGTTCCCTGTATATTGATATGTAGAAATACCTTTTGGTGCTTCATTGCCATTTTCTGTCCTTATCTGTGGAATCAGAAGTTGTAGTGAAGTGGACGCTATGCTTGGGAGGAATACTTACTAGAAAGAGCATGCATCTGAGTGCTTGAAAGGACGGATCAGAAGAAAGAGATCTGGGAGTATTTTTTTACATTTATATGAACAGTACTTTATGTGAGATGCTTTCTGTCACCAGTTTAACAAATGTTACCATCCATGTTACCTGTAGTGGTGAGAATTTGAGTACACTTGAATTACCCTGCTCTTAAGGGTTGAACAGTGGAAAAAAATTACAAGGCCTGTTATAAATGATAACTCTCCTAAGAACGGTGATTATCCTTTTTGCTTTTAAACACGTGACCTCTAATGTTGCATTGACTTTACACTTCCAACAGAGTTCATAATCCACATATGATTTCTTGTAGCACATTTTACACCGTTTTTCAGAGGTATGGACAATCTCTCCCCAGTGATAGTTAAACTGTTCACAATTAATGTCTTACATTGTTGATTTCTCCATACTGATTTCCAACAGCCCTTTGAAAAGTTTTGCATGCTGACATGATCCTTTGATCTTCTGTATCCAGTTTTAAAATAGAGTAGAAGTAGAGAGGGGGATGAACAGAGAAAATGAGGAGTGTCTGTTTGTCTCAGTTTTATCATTTGCTATTTCCTCAGTGCAGTGAATTTAGTGACTGCCAAATAATAACAATGGAGATTTTTTTCCAAGAAACCTTGAACAACATTGTCTTGTTTACCCAGCGTGATGCCTGGCATCATCAAAGGCAAAAGGTGAAATAGGTGGCAGCCAATATTTTTTTTAAATAATTGATTGGGTGAAGAATGGTTCATAATGCTTTATGATGTGTTTGGTGGATTTTAGAGAACTGGTGTCAAAAGCTTGCCTGCACAAAAGCATCTGATTTATCAAGAAGACCATTACAAAGCAGCTGAGTACAGTTAAAATACCATGGGTGGGGAGTGATTATTAGCTTTTTTTTTACTGTGACTTCTCTTTACTCTGACTGTGCTTTTGTGTCTACCTCCTCTTCTGCTGTAAATGTTAAGCTTTGTAA